GGGAAGTCGTTCCCTGTCTGGAGGTCGTTCCCTGCCGGGAAGTCGTTCCAGTCGTTCCCTGCCGGGAAGTCGTTCCCTGCCGGGGAGTCGATCCAGTCGTTCCCTGCCGGGAAGTCGCTCCAGTCGATCCCTGCCGGGAAGTCGTTCCAGTCGCCCCCCGGCTGGGAGTCGTCCCACGGCTGGGAGTCGTCCCACGGCTGGGAGTCGTCCCACGGCTGGGAGTCGTCCCACGGCTGGGAGTCGTCCCCTGGCTCGGAGTCGTCCCCTGGCTCGGAGTCGTTCCCTGGCTCGGAGTCGTTCCCTGAATCGTTCCCTGGCGGCTGGAAGTTCCCTGGCGGCTGGACGTTCCCTGGCGGCTGGCTGTTCCCTGGCGGCCGGCCGTTCGGCCGAGATGGACCTTTGTTACCTATAGGGACCTCTTGCTCATTCAAGCGGCTTAGCGCTACCTGGCGCATCTGTTGGAACTGAGCTCGGCTGAAAGCATACTGCTTGCCTGGCCTATAACAATCTAGTGTTAGCCTTCCCATTCAACGCTCTTATTAATGGAGGGGAAACATACGACGACACAGGCTCCATAACGTTTCCACCACCACGGCCGCTTTGCCGTCCAAGGAGACGGCTAGACACCCTCCCCCATAGACCACCACGTCCCGAATGGCCCCCTTGGTTTACATGAGGAAGGCTGAGCCAGTGGCCCATCTCATGCGTGGTCGTTATCGAAGCTGAGCTTCTGTCGGGCAGAGTGTCCATAGCGGCAACGCATCCGTCCTTGCTGCCGATATTTTTGGCAATGTCGGTGCCGGCTTGCGGTAAAACGCACACACCCTTGACTCCTGCACCCCGATTTGTCGGCACATAAACAAGGTTGAGGGTGCTCGTATTGCCCTGATGGACTTCAGCCTTCAAGTTATCCATAGCCGGGTTATTCTCCAAGCCGGCAGTGCAACGTGCACTATCGATACGCGAAACGTTGTTGAGGTTAAACTTGATATTGGCCCCGTCGATGAAAGTATTCATATGGTCAACAGCCTCCTGAACGAGCTCTTTCTTTAGGTGGCGGGTTAGCGTCGGGTTCTTGGTAGTCTCTTAATGCAATTCTAGAAGGAAGGAGCTTACCGAGGGACAATTCTCGCCCTCGCCACAGCATAAATGCACAACACATCCCAGGTCGATGACTTCTCCATTGTCAGGCTGAGAGCTCTGCCGCCCAAATAGCTCGCCCTCCTCTGCGCTGATACTCCGGGTACCACAAGCATGCTCAGTCTGGCTCCTGAAATCCAAAGGGAAAGCTAGGGAAGCCGAGGCCATGAGCCCAGAGACGAGAAAGAGCAGATTCACCATGGTGATGGTGGCAAGGTATGCACGCAGACCTAGGAAGTGATTGCGGCAGCTTGAATGAGGAAAAAATGTAGGCAAGGGCAACAAGAGAAAGGAGGATGAAAAGGAACACGTCTCCCAGACCTGCTTATTCTGACTCTAGCATACTGTCGACAAGACAGGAAACCGACATGTTAAATATTACCACCGTCGCGACCATGACAACGGACCTATCGTGCCAGCAAGGCACTGCGGCTTGGCATGTTTGACAATGGCAAGAAATCATTCTCTTTGCCTGAGTGCGCGGGATGCTTCGTTGATCGTCATAAGCTTTCCTACTTCTTTCTAAAATGCAGCGGCGCAGCGCCAACATTCTTGGCCGAGTCTCCCTGGACGCGGCAGCCCCCACGCATCACGTTTCACAACGACTCGCATACTGGAAATGCGTGTCAATTTTTGACAGGCGTTCTACCATGTAATGCTGACATGGGCTGATCGGATGGGAGAGCTGGTAAAAACGACGACGGCCCGAAGTGCATTGAGGAAACAAGACCTGCAAAACAGTGACCGACGCATTGATATAGCGCGAATCATCATGCGCTACCGGTTATCTCGCCCAAAGTGCTGCATAACGCTAATAAGTATCATTGCTTGTCATCCCCTTCCTCTTTCTTCCCCTAAAGTAAACATGTGATGATGTAATGGGGATTGTACTATCCTGTCTTTTTTAACTCTTCATAATACATTTCTTAAATCCTTTTACTTTTACTAATCAGTAGAGTGTTGCACTATTTGAGCTTGCTAAAATTAGCAGCTATGAGGGTCGACGGGCGGCAAATAGTCAAGTGCGCGGAACTTGCGAGGGCCCGTTGCGTGCGGCTAAGAGTGGCAGTTTCCATTACCATTCTATCACGATCCAGGGTTATGAGTCAATCACCATCTAGGGTTATAAGTCGCTGTAAAGACATTAACTAAGCTAGCCTAATAGTAAAACTAGCGATTTGCTAAAGGCTTAAAGCCTGCCTAAAGCCATCACCGTAAGGTCGCATAATCATAACGAGTAAGTGATAATTTGCTCGATTTAAAATTATGCGAGTATAGCAGTCGCGCTCGTATTGAATCCACAAAACTTACTTGAACATAGTAGGCTGAGCGAGGATCCGAGCCGCAATAGCAACTTGAGTGTTTCAAAAAGCTTGTCGAGCTGACTCTCCAACCAAGCTCCTGACTCGAATCCACGAACAGGCTAATAAAAGTAATCAACTTGCACAAAAAACCAAGAACCAAAACTACCCGTGCTCTAGCGAGACTTGATTCAACAATCGCTGCAGTGTCACCATGTTGAGGCCAAGTCATTCGCTGCATTGTTCAACGTGAGCGTGGATATGGTTACATTCGTGAGGTCTTGCAAAAAAAAATCAATGCTACTATGCTGGTCACATCCCCGCTTATCCACAAGACCACTTCGCACTTTGATTCCAATATTTGCAGAGGAGAAGCTTTGCCTCTGCACCCAACAACCTGCAGGACGGCTTGAAGTACTCCTCCGACGGAGACCAAGACAGAGTGCAGACGAAATAGTTACTTTCATATTGCGAACTGTATTATTTGACAATGATCTCTTTGAACATGGTTTCAATCAAAGAATAATTTGTCAAGGTACTCTCTCGCCTCCACCGGATCCCGGTCAACAATCCGTCGGTCTTCCTTCTCTGCCATCTTGCGCTCCACGAACGGCTCCATGGCCTCCCGCTCCGCCTCGGTCAACAGATGGATCCTCGTCTTCCACAAGTCCTCCTTTACCGTGCCATGCTCTCTCGGCCCAAAGAACTTTTCGTCGAGGTATTTCCAGTACATGGCGTCAAAAGCCCAGCTTTTCCGCGCCGCGTAACTGAGGAAGAAGCGCCCCGTCTCCCAGCTCTCGCGCATATACGTCGAGAGCGGTAAAGGCAGCGCATCGTACTCTCCCAAAGCCGCTTCAGCCTCCTTCACAGCAGCAAGCCAGGTCTCGATGCGGTATCCGTATATTTTTACCCATTCGTCGATGCCGGCGTGCCACATCTCGGCAGTCTCTAGGAGGAGCAACCACGGGGGGTCGAGGATAAACTGGGTGGGCGCCACGTAGGCATATTCCCAGTCGATGAAGGCGGCAATTTCATCAGTTTCCGTCAATAGTATGTTTCCGGCTCGGAAATCGTCACCCCACAACCGGAACGAGTCAGTCCCAGAGGGCGTGGGACAGATGGGCGGTTTGCTTTGGAGCGAGGTTGCTTGCGCTGACCATGTATCTTCTTTAAACCCAAAAGAAGCAAGCTGGCCTTTTCTAGCAAGCCTTCGGAAAATTTGACGTGCCACGTACTTGTTGCGGCAATCATCCGCAGATGAAATCGCATCGTTATGCTGAAAGGCTAACTGGGCAATGTTCATCTCCGCAAGTGCGGTATACCAGTCATCGGCCGTTGTATATGTTGTACCTTCTGGGGGTAGGGTAATTCTTGGAATGTTGGCCAATCGAATCATGTCCGTCATATTATGTGTTAGTGGGCGGCCACCCACGCCAATTTTGCCGTCTGGCAGCTCGGTCAAGGCTCCAATGCGATCAAATTTCAATTTTGATAGCCGCAGTTGACCATCAGCCACCTTTTTCCAGATACTCTGCAACGTCTTGGCTGGTATTTTGGGGTCCAGAATGTGAGGCGCCGACTTGTCCTTCCTCGGAGCATTCAGCCTAGCTGAGACGCTTCTCTTATGATCAACGAAGTCCATGATGAGAAAAGGCCCGAGTACCGAATCTGATCCATATGATAGTACTCTGGGAATTGGTACCGCCGTGCCTTCCACCAGCGTGATTGCCGTAGCGGCCTCTTGGACAGTCTTCTCATCTGTGAATTGGACAAGCGCCGGCAGGGGTAACCGAACAACGACATCAGGGGTACGGCCATCGACATGGACTCTGTAGAGGACGTTGAAGCCGCCGACCATGATTGGAGACATCAAGGTAGCTTCACCACCAAACTTCTCTTTGGCCAGCTCTTCGACGCGGCGACATTTTGTCTTGAGTCGCATGCTTTTCAACCCTTTCTCTGCCTCGTCGTCGTTTTTGTCCCAAACCAGATCATCCAGTCGTTCTTGACCGTTATACATGGTGAGTCTAATTTGATCAGGTTTCTGCGATAACTGATGTGGCTGTATCAAAAATGCGACAAGAGGTTGCGAAGATGTGTGAATGCAGTTGAGAGGCAGGGGGAGGTGTGCGTGAGTCGGGGGCACCCCTAAGTATACAGCTAGGTAGCCGGGGTCGAACGAGAGAGGTTAGTACATGGATTACTGTGTAATTCTATTTTGGTCGATTAACCCTAGCCGAGTTCATTCCTTGAGTCATCTATCCTATTGTTTAAAAAACGTATTTATTTTGTCACCAAATGCAGTTACCACTTACAGCGACAACTGGTGCACTTATTTCTGATTTTCAGCACAACCCCCACCAAATTACCCCACCAAACTTCACCCAACTATTTCCGCAGCTTCGCCCATCGCGCGACGCGTCTTCCTGCCAATAGCCGCCGCCTCTGCAAACCGACGGGGGTCCAGCTTCAACAAGACCCTCACAACCACCACCGACCCAAAGCCAATCGAGCTTCCCATCTTCCGCATCCTCCCATTCTCGGGTCACGGCCCCTTTTGCGCGCGTCCGCCCCCCGGCTGTCAGCATGTCTCGGCTCTCCATCCCGACAACGGCGCGGCTGCCGTCGTCTCTGCGCGTCGACCCCTCCAACCTCGTCGTCATCAAGAGCCTGAACCGGCTGTCGCGCGAGTCGCTTCTCGCACTGGCGCTCGACTGGCTCGACGAGGGCACCGTCGCCAACGCCGCGCCATACCTCCGCGGCGGCGGCAGCGGCGGGCCCGACGACGAGCCCGCCGACAGCGACGACCTCTACCCGCCGTGCCGCACCGTCGCCGAGCTCCAGCAGCTCTACGCCGACATGCAGGAGCAGAGGGGCGCCAAGCGCGACGTCGTCAGCCGCGTGCTCGAGGGCGACTGGCGCCACGGCCTCACCCTCTACCAGCTCGCCATGGTCGACTTTGCCTACCTCGACGAGCACCCGGCGTCGCAGAAATGGACCGCGTACAGGATCCTCCCCCTCACCCACCCCACCCACGACGCCGACGACGAGACCCTCAAGGTCGACGACGCGAGCCTCCAGATCCCCCGCTTCCACCCCTCCACCTTTCTCCAGAACCTGCAGGACCAGGTCCTGCCCGACGTCAAGGCCCACTACCACTTCTACCGCCCCAGCGACTGCCCCGTCCTCATGCTGCGCGTCTTCGCCATCGACTCGCCCTACAACAGCCAGCTCGCCCTGTCCTCGGCCGCCGCCACCAGCTACACCTCGTCCCGCACCGTCTACCTCGCCTTCCCCGACGGCGCCCCGAACCTCTACATCTCCAAGTCGCAGTCGGCCGGCGCCTCGGCCCACGGCGAGTCGCGCAGCCTGCAGAGCCTCATCGTCAAGGGCGTCCCCAAGGCCCTCTCCCGGCCCCGCCACCGCTTCACCCTCCAGAACTCGGGCCTCACCAGCAGGAACCTCGACGTGCTCCTCGACCGCAGGGGGCCCGGCCGCGGCAACGCCGCCGCCGGCGGCTGGAGCATCTACGCCAACGAAAAGAACAAAAAGTCCCCGCTCGACTCGGTCCTGCCCTCGCCCCCGCTGTCCGCCGCCTCGGAGCACAGCCGCAAACGCGCCTCGCCGCTCACCCAGCAGCGCCGCGAGGCGAAGCGCGCCAAGCTCGTCGCCAAGGGACGCTTTGGCGACTCGGCCATTGTCACCGACGGCAAGGGCGTCGAGCGCCTCGACGTTGTGATTCAGGACCCATATCCGTCCGTCAATGGCGTCGACGTGCAGGTCTCGGACAATGAGGATGGCGCGCCGCCGGCTGCCAGACGAGGGCCGCGAAGGAGCTTGGACGCCATGCTGGACGAGGACGGCGACGGGGTTGCCGATACGCCGCGGCAGGGTCCCGGTTCGCGGTGGACGCCCAATGTGCGAATCACATTCCAGGGCACCCATGTGTTTGCTGGTATCCGGCAGTTGGTGGAAGCCGGCATCATCGATGGCGAGCGCATGCCCGGGTGGATGACTGGCGAGGACGGCGTCACAGTAGGTGTTGTGCGACACGGTCGCATAAAAGGAAACAAGGGCTCGGGGATATAATGTCCACGAACTCGTCATTTTATTGTATCTCTATCCTGTATTTGCGACTAGCGCTGTTTAGATGCCATCTTTAGAATAATGATACCCAGGATTCAACAGGCTTGTCTATCTCTATTTTTACTTCTAGCGAAAAGACGCTTTTCTTTATACCATGGATCGCTATACACTCTCGCCGAGGTCAAATACCTTGTTTGTGTTTCGCCAGGCCGCCTCGCACACTTCCTCTACAGACACGCCCTGGATGCCCGCCACAATCTTGGCGATACGCTCAATAGTGCACGGCTCATTGCGGCCCTTGATCATGCAGCCCTCCTGCCAGTTCTTGGTCGCCTTGAAGCGCGAAGGGACCTCGGGCTCCGCCTTCTGATTCTTCTTCTTGCCGTGGTTCGGCTGCTTCTGGGGCTTGTGCCTCTTCCCGGTTCCGTTGGTCACCACCCCCTCGGCAGCATCCGACGCGGGCGTCGATGGCGTTTCCTCGGCGGATGCAGGTTCAGACTTTTCAATGAGATACTTCCAGCCGGCGTGGCTGGGCCGCACCTCACACCAGGGTCCGTCCGTCTCGAGCATCAGACGGTCTAGCGGCAGCTCCCGGACGACGGCGCAGTTCTCCTCCGTCTTGAGGCTGCACCCGTTGATGCCAATGTACAGGCCGAGGTCGAGCAGCTCGCGCATCTCCTCGGACGAGCCGGTGAAGCTGTGCACGACGCCGCCGCGGGCCAGCCGCTCGAGCCTCGCGCCAAAGGCGTCCTTGAGGAGCCGCGCAAAGTCGGCGGCGGCGGCGCGCGAGTGCAGAAAGAGCGGCAACTGCGGCTCCATGGCGGCGGCGAGTTTGAGCTGCGCCGCGAAGCTGTGCAGCTGCACCGCCTTGTTGCAAAAGTGCAGCCGGTCGTAGTCGAGGCCAAACTCGCCAAAGGCGATCAGGTGGCCGGTATTGGATGCCTTGGCGTCCTGGAGCAGCTTTTTGAGCCGCGCCATGTGCGTGGCGGACTTTTCTAGGTCGACGGCGCAGTCGGGGATGGGTGCTGACGGGTCTGGGTCACAAGGGGCTGTGTGCTCCTCGTCATGGGCAGTGGACTTGCCGACGCCGAATATGCTGCTGCTGCAGGGATGGATGCCTGCGGTGTAGTACACTGTACCGGCTGTTGAGTGAAATAAAAAATGAGCCGGTGAATTTCAGTCTCGGCGATGCGTTCGTTAAACTCACGGTACTCCTTGGCGAGGTCGGCGGCATCTTGAATACTGTGCCAGTCCGAGCCAGTCACCAGCAGCTTTGTGCACCCGACTTGCTTGGCTCTGTCTACAACAGCTTCCAAGTCGTCGGGATGTTTCTGGTTGCCGCGATATTGTCCGCGATATACGCGATCGGCCAGGTTGATGCCAATCTAGCCAGGGTCAGTCACTTGCCATCAACGCCGGGCTGCGTATGAGTCCCTACATCGACGTATCTGGGGTTGTATGTCGGTGCCAAGGGCTCAGAAGCGGGCTCTGGGATTGTCATGGCGTGTATCGCTGAATTCTTGAAGCGCTGTGATGAAATTGGACGTGATAGTGAATGCTGGGTCAAACGATGTCTAGGGTGGCTGCTGTCAATTTTTGACGATTTCGAAATATCGTTAAGTAATGATGATGTTTTTAACTTACTTTAGGCGGCAGAGCATTGAATAAACTTATGCTAGTGCTGAGGGTGGTTGGAAGAGTCATGCACTCGGCCTGAGTCACCAGTCCGTGGTTGAGATGTTCAAGTGTTTGCGGACTGACGCTGAGTTGGGAATGCTCAAGCTCATAACCGCTAGGTGGGTCAGGTCGCCCAAGCAGAGTGAGTGCATACAACACTGGAAGAATGTATGGAGTGCTTGAAATGTAATCAATTCTCGAAGAAGTCAATTGAAATATAACGTGTTACAAGTTCGACATAAACCTGGCATAATAATGTACACGATTTCAACATAAAGCAAAGCTCGCCTCGTTGATGCTTAGGTGAGGAATGTGGCACCAACAACCCAGGCAAGCTTGTGGGCTACCCTAGACAGTATCACCATCCGAGGCCGCGAAGCATGCTCAAGATTTGGGCTTCTTCATCTATGCGCGGAAATGGCACATCTGGAGCTGGAACATCGAGGACTTTGCACAGAGGCTCCCATCTGTCTTTCAAATTGAAGTCAAGCAGCTGCTTCGCTAGCACGAGCCTCCTCACCATTTCGTAGTGCTCACGGTGGTGACCAGGCGGCAGCCTGTGCGCTTCCCGCCTCCAACTGGTCCCTAATAATCAATCTATGAACACGTCGACGTAAGCCGCCGATGCCGTACAATCCGCCGACGCTGTATAATTCGCCGATGCCGTATAATCCGCCGACGTTGTATAAGTCGCCGATGCCGTATAAGTCGCCGATGCCGTACAATCCGCCGACGCTGTATAAGTCGCCGACGCCGTACAATCCGCCGACGTTGTATAAGTCGCCGATGCCGTACAATCCGCCGACGCTGTATAATTCGCCGACGCCGTACAATCCGCCGACGGCCCTAGTGTGTACTTGATGAAGCCGCCCACGCCTCAGTATGTGAGAACACGGCCGTAGCTGCGCTCCCCCGTGCCGACGGGCCGCTCTACGAGGATGACTTTGACGTCTGGATATGTGCCGATGAGCTGAGTCCCAGTCGGCGCCGTCCACGACAGCAGGGGATCGTAGGGCGGCAGATGGTTAATTAATTAAAGTGGGAGCCGCCCGTCGCGCGAAGCCAGTCGGATGGTCCGCAGCAAGGGAAACGTATATAGAGTAGTAAGAATAAAGAAGAGCTTAATATTCCTAACTGGCGGGTTATTTTGTCCCCCTGGTGACTGGTTGTCTTGCTTAGTTTTTCGAAGTGACCAAGAAGCCTTGAGAAAATATTATGGTATGTTAGGCGGCACACACTGCGATTGGTCGCTTTCGACTTAGTAGGCGCTGTGGCTGCGGCCGAGTCAGCTCGTGGGGGTTACCCCACCTCTTTGCCTCAGGCAATGGCTGGCTAGCTTTGACCGTGACGTCCAGCGACTAGCATCGTCACGACCTTCGTGTGACCACCTTCTATAAATAAAATGCGTCGTCGCTTGTCAGCATTTATGTCGCCATGGCCATCACTCGAGCGCAGTCGACCCAGAAAGGGCACGCATCGTTAGTGGCAAAAGATCAAGGTGTGTTTCATGAAGCGCTGAAGACACCCTGGCTGACAGCAAAAAAGGGAAGAGACCCAAGGGCATTCAGAAGCAAAGACGGACCTCGCGACTTCCAAAAAATCTTGAACGCGATCATCCGCAAGTATTCGCTGTTGGAGCAATTGCATCTCCGAAAGTATGGTGATCATATTCCTATCTTTTGCAAGCACGAGAACTAATTATCACAGGGCTCCGCGGCTGGCAGACGTGGTACGAAGCGACCCTCCGATGCGATCGGTCACGATTCCGACTCCCCCCGGAAGCGGCCTCAGAAGCGGCCTCAGCGATCTTCCGGACTTACTCTTGTTGAAGATTCAGTCGATAGCCCCGCGAACAATTATAGCAGCGCCTGCAAGCCGATCAACCCAATATATTTTTGGGCACAAGAAGGAAGCTGGCCGAAGGAATATTTTGAATCGAAGATGGAGCATTTACTTGCACGGAAGAGGTCTCTGTCGTCTTTAAACCGTAAGAGATCAAATTCTGCCACTTCCACGACACCCAGTGATCAGAAGCCACGGGAAGAGAAGAGTGCTCCTTACCGAGATCCGCGCTATACAACCCTTCTTGAAACTAAAGCGAGTTTTATGGCCAAGTCCAACCTTGATATTACCAGAAGTAGCAAAACTCTTTGCGCAACTCTACTTGAGGGAGAAAATTCGGTTCCAGAAGTTTCGCTATTTGACGATGACATTTTTGAATCCACTTGCCACAAGCTCGAGGGTAGAAATGAGGCTCGGATCATTCAAGATATTGCTCGGCTCATTGTTCCCTCTGCAGAGAGCCTTGCCACATTTGGAGCCGCGCACTTGGACATTTTAACAGAGAGTGTTAACGAAGGATGGAACAACTCGATTTCACTAACTGGCACTCGCCCCCAACCTGACTATTCCGTAGGCTTCAGGCGGGATGCATTCAGTGAAGAGCAGTTGACTAAGCTATCACCCTTTATTGGCGATTTTATCGGCGGAGATCGTTCCTTCTTCATGGCGACATACTACATGTACTTCCCTTTCCTGACATGCGAGGTGAAGTGCGGTACTGCAGCGCTGGATGTGGCGGACCGTCAAAACGCGCATAGTATGACCCTTGCTGTACGGGCTGTTACCGAGCTCTTCCGTGCAGTGAAGCGCGAGGCCGAGGTCCACCGGGAAATTTTAGCCTTCTCTGTCTCCCACGACCATAGGTCGGTGCGGATCTACGGTCACTATCCGGTAGTAGATGGGAAGGATACGAAGTACTATCGCCACCCAATCCGCACATTCGACTTCACAGAATTGGACGGCAAAGAGAAGTGGACGGCTTATCGCTTCACGAAAAGCGTGTACGACTCTTGGATGCAGTCTCATTTTGCGAGAATATCTTCAGCTATCGACCAGCTGCCAGCTGACCTGGACTTCGATAACCCGTCGCTTCCATCAACAGGGCTTCCATCAACAGGGCTTCCATCAACAGGGCTATCCCAAGGCTTGTCAAGCCATCATCCTTCGCAGTCGGATATGGAATCCACTTCAGATCACCTTGAGCAAGACAGCCAGTCAAGCAAGGCTAAGCCAGGGCTTACACCAAGCACGTCATTTACAGATTCGGGAAAGGCTAAGAAGAGGAAGGGTAAAAAGTAATAAATTCGCTATGATGAAGCCGGCGGTGGCGGCGGCATTGATTGTTGACTTATCCTGAATCTGCGATAATAACACCTATTGTAACTATCGCCCGTAACGCTTGTATCGCCCGTATCGCCCGTATCGCCCGTATCGTCTATATCGCCCACATCGTCTATATCGTCTAAATTATTAATCTCTACATTACTGGTAAGAGGCTGCTAGGCGCCTACCTCACGGCTCTTAAGATTATTAAGGTTAAGAGTGTTAATAGTAGTAAAAATAGGCTATTATGAGATTAAGCTAATGGTATTATAGTGGTTATGCTACTGTCTAATTAACTAGAAATTTTACTAGCGCGACGCTACCACTTTCGAGGTCTGTGGATCCGTATTGATCCCAGCCATCGAGGAAGGCAGCGTCTGTGTTAGCTAGTTAATAAATCATAAGGAACCTCAATTTGACTGTTATTATTGCTTTATTTATCGTATTCGAACCCTTGATTCCAACAATAGTAGTCCATCAATGTGCTAGAAGACACAATTAAACATCAAGCACCGCAACCATGTGGCATCATGAGCCCAAAGCCGAAATGCAGAATGGCGGATTGACAACTGAGAGACAAGGCGGAGACTCGGACCAGCTAATTATATATACCAAGGTCCCTACTTAAATCATACCACGTTGCCTTGTGAAACGTAGATGCGGCCGTCGTCTTTCATGGCTATGTTGCGGCTAACGACGGGTTGGAAAGTCTAACTAAGAAACGGGAATAAAAAAGGTGATTCGAGAGGCAACTAATAACGGTTGGCAACAGCTTAGGTAGCTTATCGATCGAAATGTCGAGTATTGGCATAAGCAAGCACGCTGTCCGTATAGAGGCTCCATACGCGATACGGTAGGTAATTAATTAGTTACCCCTCGATTCGGAAGCTACTAGTTTCAATATTGTCCCATCTCGCATCCCCCTCGATTCCCTTCGGTCACCGTCGCCTTTAAGTGCATCGACCAGTTCACGTGACTTCGCGCCGCTGAGTTTAAGTGCTTGCATGGAGGAGGGGGTTGTGCATCGAAGTCACCAAAAACGCCCATAACTGCAGAATTGAATTGATCTCGCTCCCCTCGAATCTAGAGACAATAAAGATCATCTCACTATACCATTTACAAGATTTGATCATCGTTCTACACCCGCAGCGGCACACTGGTAAGCGTGAATAATGTCCACAACCCTGGCCCAAGGTCCACCGGTTTAATGGATTCCCAGGCTTTGTCATTGTTGTCACGCTAACTTTTTGGCGTCGCGTAGCAAAACACGCGCCCGAGCATAAGAGGCCCGTTCCACCGTTCCTCTCAACGCGTCTTCTTCACTCCTCTCATCCTCAGCATCTGCTTCTGCATTACACCAAGTCCTCTACTTGCAACGGCTTTCCACCCCGCGACAGCTGTCTGTACCGTGGTTGATACTTGCAACATTTGAGAGCAATTGTCTCTTCCTTCGCTCGTCATTTCAGCACACATTCGTCGCCCCATCGACGCCATCACGCCGCCATGTACGTGAAGAAGAGAGGTATGTCACGATACTTTCCTCCAACCTCGAGCTGTATCCGCTAATACCAACTGCAGATGGACGCCAGGAGCGCGTCCAGTTCGACAAGATCACTGCTCGGGTCTCGAGACTGTGTTACGGCCTCGACACCGAACATGTCGACCCCGTCGCCATTACCCAGAAGGTCATCTCTGGTGTCTATGGTGGTGTGACCACTATTCAACTTGATGATCTCGTAAGTGTCCAATCGCTCAACAATGCCATCGCTCCTGTCCGTTACTGACCGCATTCTTTAACAGGCTGCCGAGACCGCCGCCTATATGACCGTCACCCACCCGGACTACGCCATCCTCGCGGCTCGCATCGCCGTCTCCAACCTCCACAAGCAGACGAAGAAGCAATGGTCTTCAGTCATCAGCGACTTGTATCACTATGTCAACCCCAGAAACGACCGTGCGTCTCCCATGATTGCCAAGTCGACATACGAGTGTGTCATGAGACACAAGGAGGAACTCGACTCAGCCATCGTTTACGACCGCGATTTCAACTACCAATACTTTGGCTTCAAGACCCTAGAGCGCTCCTACCTCCTCAAGCTCAATGGTAAGATTGTTGAGCGTCCCCAGCACATGATTATGCGTGTCGCTGTCGGTATTTGGGGAGACAACATTGAGCGCGTTGTCCAGACCTACAACCTCATGTCCAGCAAGTTCTTCACCCACGCCTCACCCACTCTCTTCAACGCCGGTACTCCTCAGGCCCAGCTGTCTTCCTGCTTCCTGGTGGACATGAAGGACGACTCCATTGAGGGTATTTATGACACTCTCAAGTCGTGCGCAATGATTTCCAAGATGGCTGGTGGTATTGGCATGAACGTTCACCGCATTCGTGCCACTGGTTCCTATATCGCCGGTACCAATGGCACTTCCAACGGTATTGTTCCCATGCTCCGCGTCTTCAACAACACTGCCAGATATGTCGACCAGGGTGGCAACAAACGTCCCGGTGCATTTGCAATCTACCTTGAGCCCTGGCACGCTGACGTCTTCGAGTTCCTTGATCTCCGCAAGAACCACGGCAAGGAGGAGGTTCGCGCCCGTGATCTATTCCTCGCCCTTTGGATCCCCGACCTGTTCATGAAGCGTGTCGAGAAAAACGGCGAATGGACTCTCATGTGCCCTAACGAGTGCCCCGGCCTTGCTGACTGCTACGGTGATGAGTTCGAAGCCCTCTACGAAAAGTATGAGCTCGATGGCAAGGGTCGTAAGACCATCAAGGCTCAAAAGCTCTGGTACTCTATCCTAGAGGCCCAAACTGAGACCGGCAACCCCTTCATGCTCTATAAGGATGCCTGCAACCGCAAGAGCAACCAGAAGAACCTGGGCACTATCCGCAGCTCTAACCTCTGCACTGAGATTATCGAGTACTGTGCTCCTGACGAGACTGCCGTTTGCAACCTGGCTTCCCTGGCTCTTCCCGCCTACGTTGACTACAACCAGGGCGTCTATGATTTCAAGAAGCTGCACGAGGTTACCATGGTTGTTGTGCGTAACCTGAACCGTATCATTGATGTCAACCACTACCCCATCCCCGAGGCTCGTAACAGTAACATGCGTCACCGCCCCATTGGTGTCGGTGTCCAGGGTCTTGCCGATGCCTTCCTTGCTCTGCGCATGCCTTTTGAGTCTCCCGAAGCCCGTGAGCTCAACAAGCAGATCTTTGAGACCATCTACCACGCTGCCCTGACTTCTTCTATGGAGCTTGCCAAGGAGGAAGGCCCATACCAGTCGTTCAAGGGTTCCCCCGTTTCGGAGGGCATCCTCCAGTTTGATATGTGGAACGTGAAGCCCTCTGACCTCTGGGAGTGGGATGAGCTCCGTGAGCAGATCAAGCAGCATGGTGTCCGCAACTCTCTACTGGTTGCCCCTATGCCTACTGCCAGTACCTCGCAGATCCTTGGCAATAACGAATGCTTCGAGCCTTACACTTCCAACATCTATCAGCGCCGTGTTCTGGCCGGTGAGTTCCAGGTTGTCAACCCTTGGCTGCTCAAGGACCTTGTCGACATGGGTCTCTGGTCTGATGCCATGAAGAACCGCATTATTGCCGACAACGGCTCTATCCAGAACATTCCCAATATCCCTGCCGATATCAAGGCTCTGTACAAGACTGTCTGGGAGATTTCCCAGCGCCAGATTGTTCAGATGGCTGCCGATCGTGGTGCATTTATTGACCAGTCCCAATCTCTCAACATTCACATGCGCGACCCAACTATGGGCAAGATTACCAGTATGCACTTTGCTGGCTGGAAGCTTGGTCTCAAGACTGGCATGTACTACCTGCGCACGCAGGCTGCTGCCGCCCCTATCCAGTTTACTGTGGACCAGGAAGCCCTGAAGCTGGTTGATGCCTCCATTGCCCGTGAGCGTCTTCCGAAGAAGCGTGCTCCTCCTGCCGGCACAAGCTACATGTCCTCGTCTGCTTCTCCCATTGCTAGAGCGTCTGTCGCCCCCAAGGACGCGGGCAACTCTGCGAGCTCCAACGGCATCCCCACCCCCAGTACTACCCCTCCTCCGGCCGTTACGTCGAGAGCCCCCCTCTCGTCTCCCCAGAAGCCCAACACTATGAAGGCGGACGTCGAGGACGGTGACAGCCCTAAGGTCCTTGCCACTGAGCCTATTGAGCAGGTTGACGAGGAGCTTACCGAAGGCAAGCGCACCAGTGACCAGGACGAGGATGGCGATGACAACAAGAACCGCGAACGTGATATTTACTCTGAGGCCGTCGTTGCTTGCAGCATTGAGAACCCCGAGTCGTGTGTCATGTGCAGCGGTTAGAGCACCACCCATTATATTTGACACGACTGCACGACTGTCATTCCAATCGGCGTGGAACGAGATGAAATAGACATGTTGGAAGTATTTTCTGTTTTCTAGTATTGACAAAGCATGCGGAGGAAAAAGGACATATGTTTTTCATTGTTGGTAATTCAGCAGCTTTGGTTATGGGTTTGACTTTGTTGGTTTATTCGGTCCCGTTTTATACTTTTTTTTTTTCTCTTGGTTCGCGTCCGGTTGCGATATCTTGGTGTATTTGCCCCTTTAACTCTCATGAAACGATGCATCTATGTTCTCATTCTAGTATCCCTGTGTGCTCTTGTCCTAATTTCGTTCCTGCCTGCTATGAACATGTCATTGAATGCGCGTATGACTTGGTTAGCCTGGCGTGATGTGCAGGCTGGAAACAGAAGCGCGCCTCGGCGCGGACTAAAAGACGCGGGCACGTTGATGACGCAACTACTATCGGCCGTAGTGCTGTAGCACCTCTCACCAGACACGAGTATTTTTTTTCTTGTTTCGTATTTACTACGCGTTGGAAGCTCTGTCAATTCTGTCAAATTGCGCAGGCAAGTTGTTCCTGCCATGGCGAGCAAACGGCAAAGGATACTGCAGGCAGCTCCGGAAGCATCGTGATCGGACGATTCACGGTTAGTAACGAGCAAGCCCGGCATAACACGACTGGGAGACGAATATCAATTGCCAAAACAGAAGATGAATGCGTTTACGTCAAAGAAAACGCCACCGAAGATGGATATGCAGGCTTGAAGACTAGTGTTATGCGGGCTGCGGGCTGGATGCTCAAGGTCCAGCCCAAGTGTGGTGCTTGGATGGTTGAATGCCAAGATGATTGGATGCATCATGCATAACTAATGTATGCGGTGTGTTGTTGTTGTTTGTTGTTGCATTTTGACGTGGATAAACAATATCCACTAGAAGCCCCAAACTCGATCAACTACATGGGTCTGTTGCGTCACAGACAATTGACTTTTCTTTTTCTCGGGGTGTAGTTAGTTCCTCTTGCCTACCTAGTTAGTTACTTACGTAGCGATTTTCTTTCTCGGGGAGCCTCGCCATGGCAGAAGCCGAGGTTGGAAGAGGGCAAATGAGATGCATCCTTCGGCACGATCGCAGATTGAGGTAGGCTAAGAACGTCGCTTTCGTCTAGAACTGTCCATGGCCCAGGTTTGATGAAGCTTCTCCGTCGTTTTCGTGGCCAATCAAGGAGCGCCTGCTGCCAGCGTGGAAGTGTGAATTCCGGGGCATCTTTGCTAAACCCTGCTTTACTAAATTGATACGCACGACTCAGTATCAAGGAAGAGGATCGACCAAAATGTGATAGCAGAGGTGCTACGGTACAGTACTTTCGTCCGGTTGTCTGTAGTTCGCAGAGTGATGTAATAGCGCAAGTGGTAAGTGGCAACATGCGACCCATCGGGCGGTTCCGAGTCGCAAGACAACTGTGGACATAATTATTGGTAGTTGATTGATGATTGACCAGTCTCTTGATCAATCAATAGTCAAGAGTTGGCAAAGTGATATTGTGCTGCATGTCTTGCTAGGGAATGTACGGTTGCTTGGCCAAGCAAGCGGCGCGCAGATAAGAATAAAGGAAATATTTCCAGGCGATGGGCGGCCACTTGACCCTTGGGATGAAAACGTGGCTAATAAACAACATTGAGCATCTGTATCCGATGTACGATGTACGTATCGTTACGAATAACGTTAGAGCAGCATCGCGTACGGATAGAATGACATGGATTGAGCTGGGTGACAAGGGTCTTTGAGGATGCAGTTGTACTGGTACTGACCTTGTACACTTATGTACTGACAGTTTCACACCCAGCATTGTCTCTGTTCATCTGTGGAGCAGCTGACTTGCTTGATTGTCGGATTGAACATGAATGTTGATGACTGGTGCTTGATCAAGTTGTTGGGCACTGAAACTTGCCAGCTTTCGGTGCTGCCCTGGTGCGGAAACAAAGTGGCTCGCATCGTCGGCCGACCGGGATTGTGGCTGGCAGCGAATTCGCTGTAAGAAGATCGGACGGGCGTCGGCGTTACCAGACGTGAGGTACGGTACTGTGGCTGTTATCCCAATTGCACAGCTAGACTGCAGAACAGAGACAGGCAGGCGGTCAAAAGCTCAGACAGTTAAACATATGGTGACTTGAGAAAAGCTTGACGAGTGACAACTTTGTTGTGATATTACCTGTCCATGCACCAGTGGACATCGCTGTGGACCTCTTGAGCTGCATTACCGTTGTGGGGGAGCTGGAGGTTTCTGTCGCTGTGACCCGCCGAGTTTTGCATGGGATCAGAGACAGCCATGATGCCGGTAAGTTACCAGCGGTGTGGTCAAGCGCAGCGTACTAGTAGCTATTCGCGACATGTGAATTTCGGGGAATTTAGTCGCCTGTGGGAACTGCACGGAAGAGCATAGTGGCATCCTTTCCACGATCTCGAAGGCAACGTCGCATTTGTTGAACAGCTTTGACTGACCGGGAAGCATTGCCGGGTGGCACACATTGGACGGCTTCAGTGACGTCGAAAATTGTATGTGGCTTGAGTCCCGGCCAGGGGTGGGATGTGGGTTGATCGAGCCGAGCTGGTTTTGGAAGCAGAGAGGCTGGTCGGCGCAACCTGGTTGCCTGCCATGATACAGCTGTGGATCGGCACAATCGAGAGCCCAGCTGAACAGGGGGCAGCAGAAGAGCAATTCCGCGCCGCCAACCAGGACGGGATGAGGGCCTGCCTGGGCCGCTTGCCAAGCAGCTATAGATCAACACAAATTGAACACGTTCAGGCACTAGTTATCCTCTGAAGCTTGTTGGTGTCGTGCAATTGGACTGTTGGGGAGGTCAAGACGCTCGAAGCGAAATTTGGACAATATGAGCCAGCCAATTCAGACTGCCAGACCGCAATTGATTCTGAAGTATCTTTCTTGATGGATCCTGGATGGAGCCATGATGGAAATTTGTGCCGTGCTCGGAATAGGTTGGGCGTGCTGATGGGGATGATGATGGGGGTGGGAAACTTCCATGACCGAAGCTTTCCGGCCAGCTGTCCCGCCCGTTTGCTGTGGCGCAGGCCAGGTATCTACTATGAGTGGCTAGTACCAATACCGGGAATGGAGAGCTTTGGATGGCGTCCCCGCCTCGGAGGGAGCGAGCTGCTGAAAATCGTCGAGTTAGCAGCTCCTTTCAGCGGGCTACGGCCCGGAGGCCGCTGAAATCGATGCAATGCCTGCGCCACACCAACAAGCTCGAAGAGCACTTGCCAACGTTATTAGATTTTCCCTTCTGTCTATTAGTGCAAGGCGGCTTTTATCATGTTGAGCATGTGAAGCTCTGTCCATTGGTGGCGCCGACTTGAACACTTCTACCTGGTTACTCCGTACCTCGCTAGATAGGAGTGCTCTTCTTTCGCGGAAATTTGGACTTTATGCCTCTGCGGCCCAAGCTGTAGATTATGAGTGTTTCAAGGGAGCTAGGCAAGCCCTACCCGATCTTTAGGTTCTTTGCAGCTCTATAACTCTTTCGTTTTTCTTTTCAAAGCGTAGAAAACTCATGTCAAATTGTACATCTCATCCGAGTGTAAAATAAAGCATTCATCCAGAAAAACCAGCCAAGGGAGCCGGAAATCTGGTCGAAGCGCGTGAGCCCCCTTGCCGCTGTCGATCATCATAAGAATGACCATCGGACATCATCAGCGCATCACGCGTCGTGACCTAATTTCCATCGAAACACCTCTGCGGGGCTCTTGGTAGCACTGTGCTAGTCTGTGCAACAAATGCGATCATTGGATCTCTGGTAGTGCTCGAGGTTGTTGTACTATATGTACAAATTACAACGCTTGGACTTGGCGCGACTTGGGGTTTGAGAGAGTTTGCCTAGGAGCGTGTAAGTGACAATGCGAGATTTAAAAGCCGGGCCGTTCTCTTCTTGCTTGGCCGCCAACCCTGGAATTCGGCGAAGTATTGAAAATACTCCTAATTCGGAAACAAACATCTATAATCTGTCCATGTAATGCAGTATAGGGCTATGTAGCCAAAGGCAGAGTCTGGACCCCGAGCCGTTGGTCCAAGGTGTCCAAGGTCCAACAAGTTACACCCACCCACAGAACGATCTGAATCTATTCTGCGAGTATAGAGCATAACGGGTTTATTAGCATCAAGTTCAATGAACTCGTGACCCTCCCGAGGTTGTCTAAAACGAAGTTCTACCAGGAACCCGAATCCATCTAGCTATGAGACAAGAGATCGAGAAAATCAGGGGTACCACGCTCTACACGCATGCGCCGCATAGCGTTGTGGCTGGATGATGCGAATGCGATCAGGATGCACCCTCCCAGTGATGGGATATTTCCAGATTCAACCTTTCAAGTTCAAGGGAATCCCAAGACTCCTCGCAAACGAGGGGGATTCCGTGGCTGGCTTCGGGTAGCGGGGTCAGAGACAGGGATGGAGGGAGGATGTGGCTTGCTTGGAAAGTCTGATATCGGCGCTGGGCAAAATCGCTATTGACTCCAAATTAGCACTGAATCACTGCACCGAGGAGCCGGCGCTGATCTGCTGTAGGCTCTTTCCATCCAACTGCATACCTCATGATGGATGCTAAACTTGCAGTAGCTTTCACAACACGCCAGGCTTGGCCATGTTCCGTCTGGTGTTGGTTTGTATGGAAATCTGGAAAACAGGCGATGCAATTTCAAACCGACGCCACTTCGATCAATCAGCTGTCCCCCTTGTCCCCCCAACCCCCTCCAAAGAGCTAATCCGGGTGCGCGGCTTTGGTGGTGCGATGCGAGTTCCTCTTCATTTCGCTTCAGGCACTCGACTCCACCGTCAGGCGGCACGATACACCAGAGTTGGTGGGCATCCAAGCATCTTACAGTGCAGAAAAGCCCGCTAGAGCCCAGCTAGCAGACCTCTAGCCAAGCAAAGCGCACCATTCTAGCGTGACGCAGGACCGTGCCAGAGACAGAAAAAAAAACAAAGACAACGAAATGTGATAAAGTGTGTAATATCTGCTAGTAGGTAGGGGTTCGGCTCGGAACCTCGCCTGCTGCTGCTTTCATTTGTTCCATTGCCGTCATAACTACATCTCTCGGCACCGAGAGTCATCATGGTTGCCATGCCTGCGCCTCACTTGGGCCTTGCTGGGCTGAACAGGCCTTGATCAGGCCCGCGGTCTGCAGTGGCAATCGTGGCAATCCCCGCTGTTCCTTTGCCAGATCCGAGTGAAGAAATAGTGAGAGCGAGATAATAGTGACGAGCCGGACCCCACTTGCCCACCACAAGGCCTCCCCTTTCCAGGCGTTCGGCCACCCCTGTCCGCCTGTGGCTAGTGCCAACCCGATTTTAGCGCGTCGGCCCCTCCAGCGCGGTGATTACCTCGCAGCTGTGCTATTCCAGCCTTTCTGGTGCTACCCCAGCCCAGCACAGGTCCCAGCAGCGGCCTCCCCAGCAGCACAGAAAACCTGGTATCTCGCCAAGATGATGGCTGCGCGTACCCGCTTGTAACGCGAGGTACCTGCACACGGAGCCTCCATACCTTGCAGGCCCATCGTGTGCACTACTTCGAACCCGCTAGTCACCTTGGAGCGAGACAAGCAACAACAACTCCTTCCAAGCCCGTCATGGCCCTCCTTGCCTCCGTTTGCTGCCCTGTCTTTGCCAGCTGCCAGCTGCCACCCACCTAATGCTACCAGCTGGCTGCCGGTCATCGCTAACCCACATTTAGAGTTCATTCTCTCGGCCAATTGGTCACCCTCCACTTGCCGTTTGCCGTTTCCCAGACCTGCTCTCACTGCACTACTAATAATTGCCTTCCTCCCCCCATCCTCTAAAGTTTTCCTCCCTCCTTTCTTCTCACGCTTCAACTGCCACCGGTTTCTCTCTCAAGTGTTCCATTCAAGCTTCCTCTGCAACACCTCAGCTCCGTGCTTTGTCTCGTCGACTCAAACACTCCTCCACAGTACGTTCTGACGCTCTCCCACTTACACTCGACATCTCTTCCACAACACTGGGAACCAAACGGACGGCCGCTCTGCGTCTTGTGTCATTCCGACCGCGATACCACGCTCCTCCGAATGGAAATCGACATGCAGACGACGTTGCCCGATCCAATGGCCCTTCGTTCTACTGCTCTCTGCCGTCTCCCTCTAGAGCTCGCTGTCGGCCTCGTACAAGCACATCTCGCGCAAGCACCCGCTAACATCTGCTCCCTGCACTAGATCCCGTGTTTCACAATCATCTCCATCAAAATGAAGTCCTTTTTCGCTCTCAGCGCCCTGGCCGCCATTGCCACTGCCCAGGAGATCTCTAACCTGGCCACGTGCGGTGTAAGTGACCGACGGCACTCTCAATCACACGAACAACAAAACTAACAATGATGCTCAGCAAACTTGCGCCAACAACATGATGGCTGCTTCCAAGGCCCAGGAGCTCGGCTGCTCTGCCAACGACCTCAAGTGCCTCTGCGACAATGTCAACTTCGGCTACGGTCTTCGTGACTGCTCTGCCGCCATCTGCCCCAGCGAGGATGCCGCCAAGGTTGTTGCCTACGGTATTGCCGCTTGCAAGGCTGCCGGTGTCGAAATCAACCCTGGCACTGCCTCTGCTTCTGCCTCGGGCTCTGGCTCTGGCTCTGGCTCTGGCTCTGGCTCTGGCTCGGGCTCGGGCTCGGGCTCTGGCTCTTCTGGATCTGCCACTGCCACTGCCTCCGGCTCCGGCTCTGGTAACGGTGCTTCGGCCACCGGCTCTGAATCTGCTACCGGTACCAACGGTGTTGGCGCTGGTGGTGTCGGCGCTGGCAGCGGCGCCTCGTCCACCGGCTCTGGCTCTGGCTCCGAATCCACCTCCGGCGCCGGCTCTGGCTCCGAATCCACCTCTGGCTCCGAGTCTGGTGCTGGTGCCTCTTCCACTGCCTCTGGCGATGCCACCTCTACCGGCACTGGTGCTGGCTCCGAGAGCACCTCTGGCTCCGGAGAGGGCAGCTCCACCAGCTCTGGCTCTGGCTCCGAGACCACCCAGGCTGCTTCTTCTTCCGCGGGCTCTGGCAGCGGCACTGAGTCTTCCACCTCTGGCTCCGGCTCTGGTGCTACTTCCACCACCAGCTCCAAGAACTTTGCTGCCCAGGCTACTGCCCAGGTCGGCGCTGTTGCCGCCGCCGCTGGTATCGCCGCTTTCTTCCTATAAAGGATTTGAGCTTGTACCTGCAATTTTTTCTTCATGATGCACATGTTTGTCACATAATACCCCGCCTGATGCGTCGACTTGAAGGGTCGCCTGGGTGTCGCATTTTAGCTGGAAGAACCTACACGGGCAAATCTAGGCAATAAGGTGGTACTCGGTTGTCGACTCTTCATGAGGTGCTAGGCAGGCTCCACCAGGGTCGATATATGATTTAGTGATCTTGTTCTTGTTGTAATGGTAACGAGGGGAGACGGACAAAGAAATCCTTACTGTGCGGTTTTTACGCCGCAAGTGTTTAAAAGAATATAAGATCGTTTGCCTAGCTTGGTCGGTTGTTGGACTTTTCCAGCGCCACAGGCGTTAATAGATAATATTTGGTTTACAATGACTCTGTTGGAACTTCTATTAACCTGTTCTTGTGATTATGTTTATGTTGTCCACGTTGAAGTAGTTCTGGTCTGTCAGCGCGGCCGGTCCATCAGCGCGATGCTTGGTCTTGTGAGTTGGATAGGATGTCTGGCACGAAAGTTCAGTGATGGACGAGAAGGCGTATTGCATCGAGCAGGAAACAACGATGTACTGCTATGCTCTGATGCGTCATAGCCATGATCAGTTAGCGTTCATGTGCTGCAAATCATCTGCTGCGTAGTGTCAGTCAGTTGAGTGCCTTTGCCGACAACGGCTTTGTCTACTGGGGTCCAGGTGCGCTTTGCAGGTCAATGCTGGACACATGACCGACACGATTCTCATCTATGTCAAGAGGAGACGCAAGATGTATAAGCATATATTTTATTACCGAAAAAGAAGACCATTTCCAAGCCAAGAAAGATAACGGCAGCGGATGGGGCCAATGCCGCCATTTGGCAGCTCTCCAGCTTGCGGCTACGTTCCGGTGTGCCCACCCCACAGTGCAGCAGCCGCCCGCAAACTCACACAGAAGACAAGAAGACGACCAAACATCACTTACCCAAGCACAGGTCGTTTTTTTTTTTTTTTGCCAGCATGCTTGAAAAAATCACGCGCGTCTACGCGAACCATGGCATGCCCATCGAGTGCGACATTTACACGGTCGCTGAACCGGTGCCGGACGCGCCCGTGGCTCTCTTCTTCCACGCCGGCGCGCTGACGGGATGGGGCCGGGACTGCGTTCCGCCCTGGCTGGTGCAGGTACGGCTTTTCTTTCAGAGAGAGAGGGGGAGAACTACGCTGCTCGATTCTCGATTTGATGGCTGGCGTCTGTGTGCTTTTTTTACATGATGTTTGTTGCTAATTGCGGGTGGTTGTCCGTAGGCGTGCTACAAGCAGAGGTGGCCGCTCATCAGCGCCAGCTACCGCCTCATGCCGCAGACGGGCACCGACGGCCTGGCGGAAGATGTCTCGGCTGCGTACGAGTTTGCGAGGACGTGGGATTGCGGCGGCGGTGGCGAAGAGAAGCGACGCGTCATTGTCATTGGTGCCAGTGCAGGTATTATTCTTCTGCTTCTTCTTCTTCTTTCCAAATGGCCTTTTTGTCTGACAAACAAACTGCTTTTTACAGGCTTCTTCCTCGCCTCGTTTCTCGGGCGCACGGCCAACCCGCCGCCACTGGCGCTCTTTTCCATTGCGGGCATCAACTCGTATACGCACCCGTTCTACCGGTCGTCGACGCTGGTGACGCCAGAGCGGACACCCGCGGCGGCCGTGGCGGCGGCGCTCCAGCCCGGGCCGCCCATCGTGGGGCGGTCGATCCCCAACGGCGGCCACGAGGGCGCGGCGGCGTTTTGCGTCGCGGCGCTGCGGGAGGACGGCAGCCGCGACCCGGACTTCTTCCCCCCGACGCCCGGCGCGGACGGGCGCTCGGCGGAGGAGAGGCGGATGTGGGACGCGCGCGCGCTGCTGTACCGGTACCTGATCTACGAGAACCGCTGGCCGGCCATGGTGGCGGCGCTGGACGGCGGGCGCGAGTGGGAGGGCTGGACGGCGGCGCGGCGGGCGCGGTGGCCGCCGACGGTCATCTTCCACGGCGGCGGGGACACGGCGGTGCCGCTGGCGGTCAGCGAAAGGCTGCGCGAGGTCATGGGACGGGACCGCGTGGCGCTGTTTGTGGCTGAGGGACAGGATCACTTGTTTGAGCGGGCCATGTTCCTCGAGGAGGAGAGGCCGGGCATGGACACGGTGAGGAAGGCGGTGGCGAAGCTGATTGAGGTGGTTGAGGCAAGGGGGTAGTTGTGTTGGCATGCTTGGGTGGCAGAACTGCCAATGGGGGCTGCTTTCTGTACATCGTGGCGTCGGTGGGCCGGCTGCGCGATTGTGAACAAGCTGGTATGACTACTGTTGGTATATGTAACGATCATCGTTGGAGAGATGGGAAAGATGGGAAATTAAATGGCCGTTCTGGTTATGGGTTGGTTTGTTGCTGTGGAATGCTGCAAGGTGGCGTGACAAAGTTGCTGATGTAAGAGCCACCTAAGCAAAAAAAAAAAGCAAACGCCGAGCGCTGAGTGGACACCAACGGGCGAAACTCGGGGCTGGTCGCTAATTATTATGCAATCAAGGCTGAGCCTATTAGTGAACAAAGCCTGACAAACTTTGGGTTGATTTATTAGTAGACGATTAGTCGCTCCCAACTAAGTAGGTGGTTCAAATCGAAACTGCCTGAGTCGTTCGCAAAATCGCAACATTTCCATCGGAGTTTTGACTTTGCCGTGTATATAACGACCGTCTTCATCCCCCCAGCTGTCGGACTTTTTATTTTTTTTATTCTCATGTTTCGAAGCACACTCTACACCATCTTAACAGCAGTCGTTGTTGGACTCCTCTCTAGCCTCGTTTACGTGCACACTACAACACAGCCTACCGCTACGTTGGCCAAGCTCTCTGCCGCCAAGCAGCAGCTTCTAACGGGGATTTCCCTCGCAACTCGGAAAACGAATACGGCCATTCACACAGCGCCCGCTGCCATGACGGCCAACGCGTCCGCGGTGCCCCGCACCATACAAAAGGCCTTTTTGGCCGTTGAGCAGGCCGAGGGCCAGGGCGCCCGGGTCCGCCGCTCCATCGGCACGCCGGCCCTCCGCCACTTGACGCCGTTTTTGATGCTTGATCACTTTTCCATCAAGCCCGGCGCTGGATTTCCTGACCAGTAGGTTTTCTCTTTTTTTTTTTTTCTCTTCTTCTTTTTTTCTCTTTTTTTTTCTCTTTTTTCCCTCTCTTTTCTTATTGTCCCACTTCCGTCTTCCCTTTCCGCGCAGCCTCGCTTTTGCAATACTAACATGCACCAGCCCCCATCGCGGGCAGGAGACCATCACGTATCTCCTCGAAGGCGCCGTCGACCATGAAGACTTTACCGGGGCCAGCGGCACCATCAACGCCGGGGACCTGCAGTTCATGACGGCGGGCAAGGGCGTGCAGCACGCCGAGATGCCGCACCTGAACGAGGACGGCAGCGCCAACGTCGGGCTCCAGCTGTGGGTGGACCTGCCGACGGAGCTCAAGTACTGCGAGCCGCGCTACCGGGACCTGCGCGCGGCCGAGATCCCGCAGGTCGAGGTGGACGGCGGCGCCGCGACCATCAAGGTCATCTCGGGCCAGAGCCACGGCGTCGACTCGGTCAAGGACCTGGCGTACACGCCCGTCTGGATCCTCGACGTGACGCTGCGTCCCGGCGCGCGCGTCGTCCAGCCGCTGCCGCCCGGGTGGAACGCCTTTGCGTACGTGCTCGAGGGCGACGTCGTCTTTGGCCGGCCGGGCGACGACGCCGACCGCCGGCCGGTCGCGCAGTTCCACAACGCCGTCTTTAGCCAGGAGGGCGACGCCGTCTACGTCGAAAACGACCCCGACGCCATCAAGGACGCGCGCCTCGTCATCGTCGCCGGCTTGCCGCTGGATCAGAAAATCGTCCAGTACGGCCCCTTTGTCGTCAACTCCAAGGAAGAGGTCGTCCAGGCCATGACTGACTTCCAGACGCACACAAACGGCTTTGAGCGCTCCAAGGGCTGGCAGTCGGAGATTGGAAAGCGGATGAGGCACTGAGCGGAGATGGCCGCGAGGAATGGGGAGGGAAGATGAATGATTGGTAGACTTGGACGAGGCGTTTTTTTTTGTAATCGAATGGGACATGTATGCGTCCACCATGTATGCATGCACGCCGAAAACGGGCGTCTGGCAGCAAGGATGGATTGTTGTATTTAATTAGCTAGCTTTGAACTTGATACGTTTTACGGAATCCCGCTTTGCACAATATTGACTGACGATAATTCGTGGCAATCTATACAGGGTACGTATATAAGTGTGCGGCTCACTATGTGATGGTGCGGTACTTTTTACCCGGGGCAGCAGTGAGTATAACCTGCCGGCCGTGTCGTTGCAGTTGATGACGTCGCCAACTGTCGGCATATTCACACGTTGAGAAACATTCATGATGAATCACATGGTGTTTTGAACGAGGCTCTGTACACGCAGCTGTGACGTCCCTTTCGCGTCAGGCTTTCTCGTCGTTGGGCTGGTCGGGTTCCACAGCATGCGGCAGACGCACGGCCAGCGCTGCCGGCGTTTTCTGCTACGAAAGGGGGGAAAAGGCCCCTCGTTGGGAGACAAGAGGGAGGCGTGGCTGGGGGTGAGAGGCAACAAGTGCGTAGACGGAACAACTTGGCAGTCGAAACCGCGGTGCATATGTACATCTCGTCTCCAGTTTCTGCCCTACGGTGACACACCGCCGCCGAGTAGGAGGATTAAGTCCGCGTCTCCGTTCCTCGGTGTGTGTGTGTGTGTGTGTGTGTGTGTGCATATCAGACAAGAGCACGGGAAGGGCCGTCGAGTTGACTCTCCCGTCTTGCCCGCTCGAACAGCAAGAACGGCTGGGACAATGATGGGGCATCCATCACGTCAGACGTCTCGCATACACCCGTCCTCGGAGCCCGGCCCCCCGTAAACCAAGGGCTTTTGCGGCGGGCCGATGAGCGATGGTCGCAGGACACCGTCGCCATCATGAGACGCCCCTTGCACCAACATGCCTGGGGCAGCATTTCAACCGATTCCCATAGTAGAAATGCAGAGTTCCATGTGAAGCGGCATATCTGGGACTTCGATGACAGTGATGCCGAGCATGGACTGTTCCAGAGCAACTCTGATCCCGGTAGGGGAGGGTGGTGGTGTTGTGAGGTGTGCCTTTTTCCTTTTTCTTTCTTAGTTACTTTTTCTCTCTCTTTCCATTTGAGCAATGATTCTCTCCTTTGTTTCTTCCTGCCGCTTTTTTCTGTCCTCTAGTCTTACCAGATACTCCCATCATCCTTCTCCGCCGCCCGCTGTACTTGAGAGCACCTTATCCGGAAGGATTCTCCCCGCAGGAGGGCATGCAAGGGCTGCGTTATTTTGACTCCGTGCCCGGGACGCGTCCCCCGTCACTGGCCTTTATTTTTTTTTCTCGACGGGGGACAAGTTGGTACAGCAATGACGGCCGAGGCTTGCCGTCTGATACGGCATAGATATGCGCCCATGTACCCCGTACACACCGCTCTTGCGTGCTTTTCGCCCTTGTCAATCATCATGAACAAGTTCTGGCCCACGGCTGGCCTGCGGATATACATATTTGACAAGGTGATGATCATCGATGACCCCCCCCGCTTGTCTCGTGGCTGACAAAGAGCAGCGCTGGTTGGCGGCGCACTTGCATGCATATTTGCTTTTTGCTCAACAACATGGGCATGTCGCCGCTCCTCTTTTTTTGCCATCGCACAAAGATTCCTGGATGACTATATTCGCATAGTTTGTCCCAAATCGACAGTGGAGGTACCTCGTACCTGCCGACTGAGACTGAGACCAGTCTATACCTTGTTTCCGATTTCCTGGGCCCCTCCCCCGAAGCCGCTCTGCATGCTTTGCGTTTGGCGCAGCTCATGTGCGTCGGGTCGTACCATCTCATGTTGAAGTAGGTGTATGTATCGCGGCAGAAGGCAGTCAGTTATGCGGCCTTTTTTTTTGTGTGGTTGGTGACGCCGCAACAGCCTCGCCCAAGTCATTCACACCTTGCTGTTCCAGTTCTTCCCAAAGTCTTTGCTCCCGACTCGTTCGGACACGTGTCCATGCACCCTCATCCTTTTTGTGCCCGAATGGTGTCTTGATACATGACCGGGCTGGCCGTGGGAGGTTTCGATGGCGGTCGGCATGATGCAGTCGCGAGCTGCTGGTGGTTTCGTCCATGTACAAGCCCACACAACCCTAACGTTATTTGCCCATGTAACTTGGCATCCGTATGTATGTAGGTGGGCAAGGACGCTGGAATCGGTATCCGGACACAAAGTGCTCCGTCAACCGACCACCCCTTCCGCTGCCCTCCCCCGCCGCCGAGGGCCTAGCCTCTTGGCCTCGTTAACTAGGATAAGAAACCCTAGCTACTGGCAGTGTTAGCTCACCTTACCGCCGCTGATTGGACAATCTCGTCTCCCCTGCTAAGATGCATGGGAGAACCTGGTACGCCGGCACAGGCGAATAAGGACAGAGCTGCAGCTGCAGACGGGCAGGAAAAAGAGAGAGACAGAAGCAAAAAGCTGCCCCTAGTTAACTACAGACTACATATTCGTACGATGCGTCAATGCCACACCAGTGACACCACTTGCCCCCCATGTCTTGCGCAGACGTACCGATACCTCAGCTCAGTAGGCGAAGAAAAGAGACAGGTCGGCCCCGTTTCTGAGACAACGTGTAAGAAGCGCCGAAATGGCCAAATGACCAAATGGTAAATGGCAACTTGCAAGTGGTTCAATCGTATTATACCCTGTCTTTGCCCTAGTCTGAGCAAAACTAGATTTTGTTCCACGTCTTTGTCTGCCTGCCTGCCCTGCCTGGCCCCCCCCCTGGCCTATTTTCGGCACTGCACCTCCTATCCCTGCTCCTATCCCAGTCATTCGTTGACGTCGACTTGTTGACTTGTTGTTGATCTGCCGGGTCCAAGCGCAGGCCGTGGGACGCGCAAACCGTGTTGCCGGAACCGCATATACAACCCTAGGATCAAATAGTACAACCCGAGGATCCTTGTTCCTATCCAAGTACGGATAGTATAGTATTACGGAGAACGAATTAGAGGCTTGGCCAAGGAGCATGGATTGGCTAGGCCGAGTCCATCAACGACGACAAAGCAACCATTGACAGACAAAGCACCCATTCCTGACACATCAAAGACAGCCCCGAATACTTGGGAAACAAGCCGCAGCTGGCACGTCTTTGGCTGCAACACGAAACCTTATTACCTTTCACCCCCCCCGGCTCACACCAAATCACACCGTCGGCCGGTCCCGCCGCCAACCCCCATCCACTTGACCAACACAATCTCGGAGGCTTTTGGACGACCGCTGTGTGTGGCCCACGAAGGCTTAGTAGTTAGTACCATCTCCGAGGCTAGACAAGTCGTCTGTCTATGTATGAGTGTTCTCATCCACGACATACCAGTACGAATACCAATCCCCGGCATCCAACGAGTCAGCTCGTCTTCCGCCACCCCCCCCCCCCCCCCCCTCCACTCACCCTTTTCGTCTCTTGCGCTTCCCTCGAGGCCCACGGTCCTCCGACCAATTGCCAGCTCATTCATCCAAACCCCGTCTGCTCCCCCTGCTCGGGAATAGGGCAGAGAGAGAGTAGCTTCTCTAGCGCATGCGCAGTGGAGAAGTTGTTCTCGGGTCATAAAAGCTAACGAGACGTATTCTGCGCGCCGACCTTTTCTAGTTTATCAGTATGCTCTTTCCCGTCATTGCCGCCTCCTGCTCTCTTTTCACCTTTGTCCCCCAAATTCACTTGCTCCCAAGTACCGGTTTCCGAAAACGGAGCCGCTATAGCAGGCCTCTCTTATAGTTTTTGCCGCATATATTGGACCGCAACCTTTGATCGAGGGAATTTGCCCCAAGTTGCTTCAGATAATCCCCCACTCGGTTTTCGATCTTCTGCCATTGACAAAGATCAGTCCTTTTTTTTTTCCTTTTCCCTGGGCGCCTTTTTTTCGAATCTGCCACCATGGGCGCCGCGCAGGCACCATCCATCGCCGACGACGCTCATCTGCTGACGGCGGCCGAAGTATTGGCATCCATCCGGGCCGGCGAGCTGACCGTCGAGCAGTATGCGCAGGCGCTGCTGGATCGTATTGCCGAGCGTGACGCGCAGGTCCAGGCGTGGGCCTACATCGACCACGGCCATGTCCTCGAGCAGGCGCGGGCCCTAGATGCCGTGCCCTTTGCGCAGCGCGGTCCGCTCCACGGCATGCCCATTGGTGTCAAGGATGTCATCTACACCAAAGGTACGGACGGCCCGGTTTTTTCCTTCCCGGGAGCCCATCTCTCGGGCGGGGGGGCTTGAACCGCTTCTGCTAACACCACGCTTGCTCACAGACATGCCCACGCAATTCAACTCGGACGCCTACAAGGGCGATTTTCCCAAGGTAGACGCCGCGCCCATCAAGCTTCTCCGCGCGGCCGGCGCGCTGCTGCTCGGCAAGACGACAACGACCGAGTTCGCGGCGACGGGCGAGGGCCCGCCCACGCGCAACCCGCACGACCTGTCGCGGACGCCGGGGGGCTCCTCGTCCGGCTCCGGCGCGTCGGTCGGCGACTTCCAAGTGCCGGTGGCGCTGGGCACGCAGACGGGCGGCTCCGTGATCCGGCCGGCGTGCTTCAACGGCGTGTACGGCTTCAAGCCGACGTGGGGCCGCATCTCGCGCGAGGGACTCAAGTTCTTCTCCGTCACGTACGACACGCTCGGCTTCTTTGCGCGGGGCGTCGACGACCTCGTGCTGCTGGCCGACGCGTTTGGGCTGCACGCCGACGCCGCCGGACCGCCGCCGCCGCCGGAGTCGGTCGCGGGCCTGCGGCTGGCCCTGTTCCGGACCATGATGTGGCCGCACGCGGGCGCCGGCACGCGGGCGGCCATGGACCGCGCGGCGGCGCTGCTCCGCGCGCGCGGCGCCGTGGTGCACGACGTCGAGCTGCCGGCCGAGTTTGACCGGCTGCCGGGGTGGTACGACGTGGTGCTGGCGCGCGAGGGCGGCGCGGCGTTCCTGCCCGAGTACCGCGCCAACCGCGGGCAGCTGGGCGCGCTGCTGGCCGGGTACGCCGAGACGGGCGGGGGCTACTCGGACCGGGCGTACCTGGAGGCGCTCGACGGCATGGCGGCGCTGCGGCCGCGCATGGACGCGCTGCTCGCCGGGTACGACGCCGTGCTGACGCCGAGCGCCCCCGACGAGGCGCCCGAGGGCGCCACCACCGGCAGCTACCTCTTCTGCAAGATCTGGTCCGCGCTGCACGTGCCCGTCCTCAACATGCCTGGCTTCCAGGGCGCACACGGCATGCCCATCGGCCTGTCGCTGCTGGCCCCGCGCTACAAGGACGCCCGGCTGCTGGCTGTCGCGGCGCCCGTTGGCGCCGTGTTCGAGGCTGAGGGCGGCTGGACCCGGCGCGTCCATCACAAGCCGACGACGGGCGCAGCCATAACGACGACAACGACGACGATGACGAAGCATTACGACGAACCGGTGACAAGGCACGATATAAACGGCGCCAGCCACAATGGTATGGATGAATAGACCAACGAGCGCATTTTTTTTCAACCGCACTTTACATGACAAGGTAGACTGATGCAGAACGTGGTCAGCAGTTGGCCGGTTCAAGCCCCGCCTATAACTACACATGAATACAAACCGGAAATACATGGCTTGCACGTGGGACGGTTTGTCGTTTTTTTCCTTTTTTCACGCGGGGTTGGGGGAATTCTGATTTCATCCTTGTTTTATTTGGCACCTTTTGATCAAGCCTTTTTTTAGTTTGTAATATGAGAGAAGAAAAAAAAATGGAATGAGAACAAAGAGTACATATCGCAAACCCCTCCGTTTTGGTATCGAGTGTTGAGCTCGTACTAGATTGGGCTCGTCTTCTCTTTTATCCGCCAAACGGTAAAAAACGATGCATATATGCTTTTGTGCACACGGGAGAGCGTACAGGGGAGGGCATGTTCGTAAGTCTTGTCAGGAGGTAAACAAATGGGAGAAACTAAAACAATTCCGTCATTCACGCGTCCGCTCATTGGCCGGCAGCCATGGCGTGTTCTATACATGCGGAAAGCTATAGATGCGAGTTAGCAGACGGTCGTGGCACAATGTTGATGGAGTGATGCATACGGCTTCGGGGACAATGCCCTGGTTGCCCAGATACCGGCACATGCTCTTGACGAGCTCCACTTGGTCGTCAGGGCCGAGTCTGGTAATGGCAGTCTCCAGGACAATGCCGAGATCGACCTTGTAGACGGCAATAAAGGTGTGATAGTACATGTAGGCAAAGAAGCCCATGATGAACTGGCAGTCCATGCGGTCAGTCATGCCGCCGTGACCGGGAATCGAGTCGCCAAAGTCCTTGATCTTGAAGCTGCGCTTGAGGCCCGAGGCGAAGAAGCCGCCAAAGGGGGCAATGAGAGAGGCAAACGAGGCGAGGATAAAGGTGTGGAGTTGAATCGGGGCGAAGGTGAGCGTAATGGTACGGTGCTGCGGCAGAAAGAAGAACTGGGGAATCTCATAGGTGGCGGGCAAAAAGACGGGGTTCGGGTTGCACTCGAGGCCGGTGAAGATGTTGGCACCGAGGTCATTGACGGGGCAGATGAAGAACTTGGACTTCATCATGAGGTTGGAGAGGAAGATGCCAAAGAGCACCGTCATGATCCAGGCGCCGACGAAGCCCTCGACCGTCTTCTTGGGGGAGAGCTTGATGAGCTGGGTGCGGCCAAAGGCGATGCCGCAGATGTAGGCAAAGATGTCGTTGGTGATGACGAGCGCGGCGGGGAGGAAGAACCAGATCATGCCCTCGAGGATGTTGTTCATGACAAAGTGCGCCTGGACGACGATGAGGTACAGGGCCATGTGTGTCCAGGCAAAGTTGGTGAACTGGAACTTGTAGTGGCCGGCCTTGAGGGACGCGACGAAGCAGACGAATCCTGGGTGGCTTGGTTAGCTTGCAAGGGAGATGGATTGCGCGCAGAGAGGCGCAGAATGTACTCACCAAAGACGTAGAGAATAAAGCTGATGAAGCGGTGGTGGGTGGCGAGCGGCAGCAGCACCTTGTCAACCAGGACAATGTGCTTGAAGTAGTAGATGACGCTCTCGCCGTACAGAAAGTACATGGTGGTGGCGAGCCAGTACCAGTTGAGACTCTTGGTCGATCGCAGGGAGCGGGCGCGGCTGGGGACGTTGGCGATGGCAATGACCTCCTTGAAGGAGATGATCTGGACGGCGGTGATTATGGTGATGATGTAGATGTGGCCCATGAAGAGGGCGCCAAAGAAGATGCCCATCATGACAAAGGTCCACAAGGTCCGCGTCCAAAAGTTGGCCTTTTTCTTTTCGTACTCGGCTCTTTTCTCCTCGGGCGTGGGTGGTTTCTATAATGAGCAGGAGAGGGTTAGTTGTTTTCCTGTCTGTGGTTGGATGAGTGCGCGGCGCGACTGCGCAAGCTAGGGATGGGGAAAGGGCAACAAGATAGTCGACGATGACGACCAAGAACGTACCTCGTCGACGGTCTCGAGCCGCAGATACGGCTTGCTGCGCGAGGGGGAGCCATCCTCACTGACGTCGCTGAAGCTGGACCGACGGCCCTCTGAGCCGCTGCCGTTGCTGGACTTGTGGGAGAAACGTACGCCGCGCTTCGGCCTAGACATGGCTGGATCTTGTGTGTAGGATTGTGTTGAATGACTAAGAAAGACGCTGGTTGGCGCGGGGGGGATTGCCGCAAGCTGCTTCTATTTCGGTTTGGCGATGCGATGGGGACGACGGCGGCGGCGGCGAAAACCAAGGCGGCAGCGATGATGACGATGGCTAGCCCGAGCTTAGAAAGAGCAGGAAGCCTGTTCGGCGACAGCGGCAACAAGTGGCCACGGAGCTCCTTGGCGGCTGCAGGGTCGAGGACAAGGAGGTCGTCGGGGGGAAGGGGGGGGGGGGGTGATGATTCGACGGAGGGTCGGCGGACAAGAAAAAAAAGAAGGAGGTTGTGACGTCGAGAAAATAGTGTTGAGCGCTGACCAACTATTTTTTTTTCTTCGCGTGTCTCTGGGCAAGATGTACCCCGTTCCAGTTTTTGTCCTGGGGAGGGGGTTTAGGAGTTTATTTCCCGAACAGCTCAAAGCCAAAAGCCAAGGTAAGGTTTGCGGCGGCGGCGGACGGACGGGGACAACGGAGCAATCGGCACGACTTTTTGGCAGTAGAAAGCACCGATGTTTGTGTTTTGCGGCAAGGTTATTAGTACATTGTAATTTGTACATAGGAGGGGGACATTATTATGCACGAGGTACAGATTACATAGCACTGCATGCACTGCATTGGTGGCTTGACCTGTGGCGGACTTTTCAGGGATTCGGTGCGGGAAAGGCGCTGAAATTTTGGTGGGATTGAGCGGAGGAGCTGCTGTATTTTTCGATTTTTCGAGGTCGAGAGTTCAGCCGAGGGACAGGTCTTGGTGGGGCGGGGTTTGGGCTGGAGGTGGCTGGTGATTGGAGGACCGAAGATGGGGAACTGCCCGGCAGCTGGGGAACAGAAAGAAGCATGGAACAAAGAGAAAAGAATCAAGATTATCCCTCAACTTTGCATCGAGTCAATGAGAGATTTTCCCAGTCACATCATGAGCCGGGTCGTGCTGCTCGGATGTGCTGGGCAAGTTTCACGGGCCACGGCGGAGTGCGGAGAGGAAGATGGACCTACCTAGGTACCGAGCTAGGTAGTATTACATGCTGCTGGTAACTAGAGGCGCATGTGCATCTGCTCAACAAGATTTGGCCCGGCCTGGTTCCCCCTCATTAATATATCCTTATTTTAGGGTGTAACCACAAAATGTGGCATGCTGATGCGCTTGATGCTGCACATGATGGAGGGCAACTTGCAAAGGGAACACGTAATAGACGTACAAGTGGTTGGTTGCCCACTGAAAACATTAGTAGGTACCTGGCAAATAAAGATTCACCCGATCAGCAATCTTGGGCCAACGGGCAGCATCCTGTATCAGGCACCGAGGCCGCCAGCGACACCCTGTAACTCCTTGGACAACCCCAAGTTCCCCAAACAAACACCAAACACCAACAAACAACTCTATCTCGACTTCAATCCCGTGTCCATCGACCCTCTTCTTGGCACACCAATCATCAGCCATCGAATATCGAATAAAGCTGGTCCCTGCTCTTGTCAGACCCCCTTCTTACCTCTTGAGATTATTATTAGGTTTCTTACACTTTCGACACTCACTTCCCTCCACATCAGCCCAACAACTCAACCACTCACACCTGCCGCTACTACACAAGGCTGCCTCCAAACCCACTCACACCCACCCCTCAACTTACTCTGGCCAACGTCATTCGCTCACATCAACCCCAAGCAACACTATCTCGACTTGCTCTTACAAACTCGCGATTGCGCCCGCCGTGTTACAGATGACCACCCAGCATATATAGCTTGCCCACCCCTCGCCTCCCCTTCCCCTCTCGCTTGATGCTGCCCATTCGCACCTTCGCTCGACCTCTGCGCTCGACTTGCACAATACCGGCTTCCTTTGTGCCTCGCCCGAACCTTGCCCTGCCTACCCGTTTCGTCGCCGCAGCACGACTCGCGAGCTCTTGCTGCACCGGCTCCGACCACTCTCACCCGCCCGCGACACAAAAAGCCAAAATCATGGCCGGCGCTACCCCCAAGGACGTCCAGGAGTACCTCCAGCAGTCCCACGACCGCATCTTCGAGAACAACCGCCAATGGGCCGCTGCCAAGAAGGAGCAGGACCCGGGCTACTTTGTCAGCCTCAGCGCCGGACAGTCCCCCAACTACCTCTGGATCGGATGCAGTGACTCGCGTATCCCGGCCGAGCAGATTACTGGTCTGGAGCCCGGCGAGACGTTTGTCCACCGCAACATTGCCAACCTCGTTGTCAATAACGACCTCAACGTTATGAGCGTCATCAACTACGCTGTCCGCCACCTCGGCGTCAAGCACATCGTCGTCTGCGGCCACTACGGCTGCGGCGGTGTCAAGGCTGCCATGACCCCCAAAGACCTTGGTCTCCTCAACCCCTGGCTGCGAAACATTCGCGACGTCTACCGTCTGCACGAGGAAGAGCTCGATGCCATTACCGATGAGGAGAAGCGCTACGACCGCCTAGTTGAGCTCAACGTCCTTGAGCAGTGCCGCAACGTCATCAAGACCGCCGCTGTCCAGCAGTCCTACAAGAAGAACAGCTACCCCATTGTCCACGGCTGGGTCTTTGGCTTCAATGACGGCCTCCTCACCGATCTCAAGATTGACTTTGAGGGATTGCTTGCCAAAATCCAGAAGATCTACAACCTCACCGACGAATAAACTCGCCGCCAGATCTAACCCACACATCACGTAACAAGATGCAAGGGAAAAGATGCCATCAAGTACCACATTGCTTTGCGTTGTTTGCGTATTCTTGGAAAGGATTTTTGGAGATGTTGGAGAGTTTTTTATCGAGCGAAGTCGGGCGGGCTGGTTAAGCCGGCCGTTGTAGGCGTTGGGAGCACGAAGCCGGAGATGCATAACTAGGTAGTGGAAGAGTATGTCATGAGGCATTACATACAGAATTCAGATTGCGGCATTTATATCACCACCATGAACCTGAAACTTTTACCGAGTCTGCTGCAAAATTTCTGATTCAGGCTCGCTACTATTATTAAATAACTCTCGAAGCTAGCCTAGCATGCCCGCGCTAGCGATGACGACTTCACACCACCGGAACCAGCTAAAACATTCGGCGATCCTGACAAGGGAAAAGGAATTGTTACAGTCGCGCCTCATCCATTAACGTCGGAGAAATAGGTAGATGGTATTCTTCAAGGTATTTTATCATCCGGCTCTTGGTAGCTGACATCTCTTGATCTCTATCTTCTCCGATGTGGCGCAAATTGCCGCACGTGACATCGCGACGCGTCAAAAAATCCCTCCTCCAATAAGGCGCGGTCAACGCGGTAGCCTTGCAAGAAACCCGACAAATCTCTGCAGCCGCGCAACAACCTCCCTCATCAGCGGTGGCCTAGATGGCCGACTCGCGCTGGCTTTTACTCCGCCAGCATGGATCTGGATGAATTTTCCGACGACGGACTCGACGACCTTCCCGAGAACGCCCTCCGCGAGATTGAAAACCAGGCCATCCAGTTCACCCAGGCACAAGCGCAGCTAACGCAGCAGCAACCACGGTCCTCCATCGATGCCCGGGCCCAACAATCCGACTATGGCTGGGAAGAAGACGACGACCTCGACACAGCCCAGGTCGTCAACGATGCCGGCGTGCCCGTCGGCCGCCGCCCGGGCCTTCCCCAGGCGGCGCCCGCCGCGCCGATGCCGGCCGCCAACCCCCCGCGCCGACCCATCCCGCCGGTCCCGAATCCGCAATGGAACCCGACACTTGCGCAAAACGCCCGACCGAGCGCATCCATGGCGCAGCCACCACGCGGCGGCGGGGGCGCCGCCGCTGCCGCTGCCTCGCAGCGCTTCCACCCGACGCAGGTCGCCGCCGCCCCGTCCCTGACGCAGACCCAGCCCGGCGACGTGCTCTCGGCGCTGCAGATCCGGATCCGCGCGCTCGAGTACGACCTCAACGCCTCGCGCGGCGAGGTGTCCATTATCCGCGCCAACGCCGTCAAGGCGCAGCGCGAGTTTGACGCGCAGCTCGGCCGGCTCAAGCGCGCCAACACGGACCAGCTCGACAGGCACAGCCGCGCCGTCGAGGCCGCCGTCGCCGCAGAGCGGTCGGCGCACACGGAGCTGCAGTTCCTCCAGCAGGACTTGAAGGAGGTCAGCGACCGCGCGCGGCGCAAGGACACGGGCGGCCCCGGGCCACCCGCGCCGGGGAGCATCGCCACCACCCCGAAAAAGGCCGGCGGCAGGAGCTGGGGCCTCGCGGACGGCTTCGACGAGATGGACGTCGCCGCGAGTCCGAGTAAGGGACGCGGAAGGGGCCGCGCGGCGGGCTCGGTTGCGGCCAATGTGGGCGAGCGCACGCCGACAAAGGGCAAGCGGAAGAGGCCGGTCATCGACAGCCCGGTGATTCCTCTTGAGCTTGATACGGCAGATGTCAGCATGGATGACATTAGACCAGAGCTGTCGCAATCGTCACAGCATCTGAGTATAGTCTCGCCTCCCGCTGCACCGTACGAGGTTTGTTTCTTCTGCCCGATTCCTTACTTCGCCGAGTGCTCACCGTGTACCTCAGTTTTTGCAGCTCATCCTAGACCACGGGAGCTTTCATCAACAGCCGCCTACCTTTGATATCCTCTCTCGCTTTTCCTTCCCGTCCGACACCACCTCGGCCTCGCTCGCCTCCAAGATCTTTGAGCGCCTGCCGCTCATGGGCAACCCGCACCGGTCCATGCAGCTGGCCGTCGACTTTGCCGAGACCGTCATCTCGCTCTGGGGCCGGTGCTTCGAGGAGCAGTACTGGGCGCCGATCAAGTACCTGATGCCGCTCCTGTCCTTTACCTTTCAGCTGCACGTCACATCGGTGGCGCCGCTCGTGGCGCGCGGTCTGGTGCCCACGGCGCAGTCCACCATCTGCCTCGTCGCGGACGCGCTGCAGTCCCGCCTGCCCGACGGCGGCTTCTCCAAGCAGCAGGATTACAAGTACTATGAGGAGCACATTGATACGGCAGAGGCCATGTCGCTGCTGCACATGTGCGCGCTTGCTTGCGCGACGTCGCCGGACGAGGGGCCTCATGGGCCCGAGTATGGAATTTCGTCTTTTTGGAAGCTCATGTCTCTCGACATGGTCGTCATCTTGCTGTCGCCAAAGCAGCGATTCCACGACATTGTCAACATGCTGGACCTGTTATCTACCTCGTCGTTACCAGAGTCAATAGGTCCGATAACGGAGGAAAAGGACGCGCAACTTGTCGCTCGCATCATCATTGAGCGCGTCTCTGCAAGGCTCGTCGAGGGCCCGCGATCACCGCACACGCAAGTCCAAAGAAAGACGGTGCGGGCAACCGCCCTCCGTACGCTCATTGCTTTCGCGCGGTACCCATTCGGCGCCTTGCAGCTCGCGATCCACGACAACGCTCTCCCGCGACTGATGACGTGCTTGAGCACGTCGATTGACGAGCTCTACGACCAGCCCATCTCGTCTGCGCTGCTCCCCGAACCGCCAGCACCCGCCGACGACGGCGTCTACACGGGTTCTCCCGCGGCGGGCAAGATGGGCGACGCCAGCGCCACGCCCGAGCTGAGCCGCATCATCGCGCAGTGCGTGCTGCTCCTCCACGCGCTCGTCACGGATCCGCACACGGCCGACGCCGCCGACCTGAGCCGCAAGCTCTCCGTCTTTCACGGCGGCAGCCAGCGCCAGCTCCTGGCGCTCGGCCGCTTGACGTTTGCGGAGGAGGACCTCATCATGGAAGCCGGCATCGACAGCGAGATTGTGGAAGCGGCGCATGAACTACTGGAGCTCGCCGTGTCGCCTGACGAAGGCGAAGTCGTGAGCGGAGCATTTGGACCATGATGAGGCGACGAACCATATATACAGGGATATAAACCACTAGTTGCTCGTTGCATCGCGCAGAAGCCGTGTCCATATTATTATCATTACTTATTAAATACCATTAAATATACAATTATACTCTCAATAAAGCCGGGTCTCTGCTGACTGAGGTGGGGGGGTTGGCTCTTGTCCCTCCTGCAGGTCCTTTCACTTCAAGCCCATGGACTTGCGAATGGCCACATTCGGCACGATCCATGAAGCGCCGAGGCGAAAGGCGCCGTTGGCCTGCAAGTCCTCGTCCTTGTTTCCCATGGCCATTTCCGTCAAAAAGCTGCCGAGCATCGCCGTCGGCGAGTGACTGGCGGCCATGGCAGTGCGCACGACAGGCCCGAGCACGCCGACGGTGGCGCGGTACAGCACGCCAGCATCAGGCACGTACGGCCTGATGGCATCGTGCTGCGCGGGGTCGACAAAGGCGGGGCGGACGGCGTCGGCCTGGAGCGCGCCGCGGGAGCCGACGGTGAGGTCGGCCAGGCCCTGCTCGGTCTCGCCCTTGACGCGGGCAAACGCGGGGGCGAAGAGGCCCGGGGTCTGGGTGGCGCCCTCGCCGGAGACGTAGACGAAGCGAAACGGGCCGGCGGCGCCGCCACCGAGGCCGGCAAAGGCGGCGGCGGCGGCCAGCGCATAGTCCCGCGTGACGCGCACGTACTCGTCGCGGCCGACCTTGTTCTGGCTGATGCCGAGCGCCCACACGCAGCCGTGCGCGCCGCCGAGGGCCGCGAGCAGCGCCGCGTCGTCGTACCGCGCAAAGTCGCGGTGCAGGATCACGCGCACCTTGGGGCTCTGCGCGGCGTCGGCAAAGGGGACGGGCCGCCGGCTGAGAATTGAGATCTTGGTCACGGCGGTCGTCTGGATCATGGCGTCGAGCACGGCGGACCCGACGAGGCCGGTGGCGCCGGTGAGGATGAGATGCATGGTCGTGTGGAACGTATGTATGTGGCGGTGGGTTTTTGAAAAGGGAAAGATTGGAAGGGGGGAGGTTGCGGAAATTGCTTTTTTTTTTAGTCGGTCCGGGAGGCTTTTGAGAACGCGTTGTAATGGCTTCTGCGCTTAGGGGGGAGGCACGTGCTGGTATGCGGCTATCACCATTATTATCGCCGAACTCTAACTCGTAAAGCAGCGCGGGCTGGGCGGAGTCTGTAAGTCCGCCGCTGGCGCGCCGCCGTTGAACCTGTTCTTGAGGGCGGGCGAATAAAAATTCCACGCTCTTCTACCAATGTACCCAATGCTATTCTGTGGTTGTACTCTTCATTATTATATGCTTTGGGCAGACGGTGAGAGCTGCCCGCCACTGTAACTGACAAGCGGGCTTGCTTGGTGCACAGAAGAGATGGCTGGCACCCAGCGGTACTTGCTTTATAAGAGAAGCTGCAAGTGCTGCGCAAAAACACCAAAGGGCCGAGGATGGAACGTCTCGTACGCCGGCCAAGGCAAAGAGCCTTTCTTGGGGACGGCCCGGGTGCACCTGGGCTGGACATGGCGTGACCTACGCGGCTATATCTAGGTACCTCGACGGGATCTCGAAAAAGAGAAGGAAAAAAAAACGACGACCTATCAAGTTGAATCACGATGTTGACTCGGCAAAGGACGGAAAATAAAAGTCACGTATCCGGCCCCTTAAAGCAATCTCGTAACGGGACCCAAAGGAGATAAGTTCCGGACACCAGTGAGATGTGCAGAGTCTCCGGATCGTCTTGCACAGAAATATTGACCACAATTAACAAGAATCATACATGATGCGGAATATATTCATGCTGGACGCCTCGTTGCCAGGCTGTCGACGTGGACTCGTGTCTCGGGTCAACGTGCCGCTGTCAAAAGGGCGTGGTCGATTGACCAATTCTTGTTGTCAGAATATCAGCCTTCGGCGGCAAGGGGTCGAAAACGCCACCAACGCCGAGGAGGCGAGACATGCAGATTCCATGTGGGCGACAAAGAACAAAGCAATATAATTAGTTCGTTTAAACCTGCTATATCCGTACGCCGTATCCGTAGATTGGGAGATCTTCATAATTCGCTTTATTATTATCTTCTCATTGTTGCAATTATCATGTCTGATTGTTTCCATTCCTTCATCCTGTTTCACATTTCACATCCCCCCCTTGTCTTTATCCTCGTACCAGGCATGAACGAGAAACACTAGTTAGCCTCTTCTTTACTACTCCTCTCCCAGCCTTACTGGTGTTTGCTCACCGGCATTGCCGTTATTTCCCTGTGGCAGCCATCCTTGATGCGTGGAGCATGGATCCTACATGATATCTGACCAGCACAGCCTTGCATGTAAGGGAAAAGGTCGTCCCTCTGCTGCAAGGCGGTGCGCGCGGCGCCGAGGCAGCCGATATGACCGAGTTGGTCGATCGAGCTGCCGGGCAAAACGAGAGAGCGAATGTGGCATCAGGCTGGCCGGCAGGAAGCCCGAACAGGCAAGGAAGCGAGATGCGTGCGGTGAAGGGCGATCACCGCTGGGATTTGTAAAGTCAGGCCCGCCTCGGGCAAGGGGCATTTGGGAACCTTGCTGGTTATTATGATAATAATCCCTCCAGACTCCAGGCCGGCAGTTCCTTACCGTCGCAGGTGCAAGACCTTGCTTGCAGTCTTGCGACACGCCGTATGTCTGTAAACAATCAACTGGTTATCAAATTGCCAATGTACTGACAAAAGTCCCTGATGGCGTAATTCGATACGTCCACAGGCAGGTCATTGCTAGGTCTTTGGATGCGGGAAGACGGTCACCCTCGCAGCTCTCATAGTATGTAGCTATGGAATTCTTGTACATTGTCATATTGATCATGATTCTCATCTGCTGCTTCAATTTCGTCACTGTTAGAGTCCCAAACGTTCCGAGCTAGAACTGACCAAGGTAGCCAAAGCTTATTCGGGGGACGGCCACGTCTGGGGACGGTGCGCCCTCCAGCAATGCAATACGAATTTACTGTACCAGTAGTCCGACAGCGCCCGTGGACGGTTGCAGTGTAGGAGGGGCAGGTAGGATCGCCACTGAGAGTAAAAAGACAGGGTTCGCAAAAGTACCAAGGTGTGGGTTTTGCGGGTGAGTGGAGGCGCATACCCATACAAAGTAACGAAATAGCATGGTGGCTCGGTGCTTCTATTATTGACTCGTCCCCAAAGCAGTAATAGAAAGCCGCTGAGAAGAATACTCGTCCGGCTATTCCCTAGGGGAGTACTTGATTCGTCGTCGGACAGGCAATTTTTGATTCATGTAAATGATCGCAGATCCCGACGAGACGAGTCGTAGTAGCTGTTGGGGGTACCAAATGGCTGCTCTGTCAACAGTTGCAAGACACTGTTGACAGACAGCTGCTCTGTCTGTAAAATATCGAGTGACGACCGCTGATACAGACTTGATAGTAGTGGTAGTAGAGGCTTGGGCGCCGTAAACTGGTTGGAGAGGGGTGTTTGCAACACAATTAAGCAACGTCGTGAGGGACAGGTCTTGATCCAACTGCCATTCTCTGGGTCAGCAGGTTCGATTGCAGTCGCGATTTACTACCCCAAAGCGGGCATCTTTTCTTGGCCGACAGATATCAGATCAGTAACTAATTTGTGGCCTTGGCGATATCCGCACTTTTAGCTACCACGGCCGATGATGGGTGCCAGCGCGCGAGAGATGTGTCAGCAGAGAGCAACGTATGTACTGAGCGGAAGAGCTAAGAGTAGAGGTGATGGGAACACGTATATACGGTATCCGTCGCCATCCATCTCTGCGATGGCCGCGGAGAAAGCGCCGCACCTTTTTTTCGCTTTGCCCCATCTCTTCCAGGGCGTCGTCACAGAGAACGGGCGTGACCAGGACACGACATGACAAAAATGACAAAATGCCATGACCTACCCCTGCGGGCCGAGCGCCACCCCGATGGTGTAGCTTCGGGCATCGGACTCCAGGTCATGGGCGCGCCCCGTAGGTGCATGGCTAGCTGGTCGTGGAGGGCTGGGATACGCTGGACGGGCTGACGGGCTGACGGGCTTGCGTGGGCTGTTGATGAGGTTGGACGATTGAGGAAGGAGTTTATTTCTCGGCGCAGTCCGATATGAGGGGAAGACAGGGGATGGCGATGATGGCATAGGAGGATGAAGCGTTTGCAAGCATCGTGGTGTTTAGTCACGAAGAAGTATGCAGGTAGGTAGTAGGTAGGTAGTTAGACCAGAGCACCTTGCTCCTCAGTACCCGTACCTACCTAAATCAAGGAAGGGAGGTACCGAGGTGGTGGACATGACTGTGCGAAAATTTGCGCGCCTTGGACAATGTACCCGACAGACCGACAGCTGCTCGACTCAGGCGCCTACAGGAGGTGACCCGTACTAAAATGTACTTATTAAACGAGTGGGCTGATGCTGCGCATTCATGTCATGCGAGATTTGCGAGCGCACAGAACAGCATGGTGTCTGTTGTAGCACGTTCTTGTACGAATTATTTATGCCAAGACGAGGGGGTTTGGTCCAGACTCGACGCGTGTCCTTGTTCCTTGTTGGCCCGACGCATTGCCTCGTCGACAATGGCGTCTGGCGGCGGGAGGAGGGTACAGATGACGGTGACTGTGCCAGCAAGCAGCAAGCAGCACAGCACGCACTGTAACCTTGCCTGCTGGCTGACTGGACTGGCTGGGTTCCCCATGGTACGACGGTTGGACAGGGCCAGCAAAGGTTCCTTGGTTCCCAAAGGTTCCGCAAAGGTTCCCCCGTCGGCCTCCGCAGTCCCAGCTTTTTAGCGGGCTTCGGAGCCTTTTTTGGCATTTCTTTGAGGCTCCTCGGGCCCTGTAACTAGTAGCGGTCCCACTGGCCATCCACGGCCACGCAGCAACCTTTGGCCCGAGGTCGCCCTCGTTGTCGTTCATCTACCTTATTAGTAGGAGTAGTTATCTGTCTGGTACAATGTCTGTACGAAATGGCTCGCCACGGGAATTAGCATCTCTTGTTGTTTTCTTATTATTAGTTTCACATTCATATCCTTGGCCCCTTTCTATATGCCATTCCATGCCTTCCATGCCTTCCATGAACAATCCATGCCCGCTAAAGTACCACTTGCCACTACTCCATAACTACCAATACCCACCCTGCAAAAGGTCCATCCACTTCTTCTCCGTTATGACCGGCTCGCTTCTCCCCATCCATCCATTGAGCCATGCCAAACAACCTTTGCCCATCTCGGCCGCTCGCCATCCCAGATCCAGGTATTCTTGGCAGTTCAGCCCATCCTCTTCATCAACCGCCGGCCCCCAAAAAAATTCTGGCTCGTCTGGGAGCGCGGTACCGAGTACATACAACTGCCCTTCCCAGAGCCACCTCAGCCGACAGCGTTCTCCCATCACCAAACGCCTCTCTGGCCAACCCCCAAACACCAACATCAACCTCCATCTCGCCGTCGGCATCCAACCCGCAACACCCAAAATTAACATCCTCAAATACTCCTCCGCCTTCTATTTCTGACTGGCTGACGCCGCTGCAACCCCCGCCTTCCATCTGCCGGCCGACTCACGCTGCCAAAAGGTCCCTGCGGCTCCACCAGTGTCCATCATCAACCACTGCGCCGGCGACATACGGCACAGTCACGACTGGAAAACGTCCTTCCCCCGTTCAAATTCCCTCCAGCTCGCTGCAACTGCTATTCACGCCTGTCTTCTCGCTGTCATCCCCTGGTCGCGCCACCCACTCACGCCCAGCTCGACATACGCAGCCTTGCGACCAGCCGCCCTGCTCATCTCCGTCCTGCCTGTGCATGACTGCGCCATATCCGGCCTTCCGCGCACACCCAAGACAACTCTTTCTCTTGTGGCTACTTCTCGCGCCATCTTGTACTATTCTATTCTCCGTTTCAACTGTCACCTGGGCCAGTCTCCACGCTTTCCGGTCCTTCCAAATCTAACCACCCGCGGCACTAGTCTACCAAGGTGCCCTTCTTCACTGCAACATTGCCCACAGCTCTTGGTCCGCTTGTCATTTACGTTTGATACACCCCTCCCGCCTGAGATCGGCGCCTCTCCCAGGTTCATTTGCTCCCTTTCCCTTTTCACACCAACTCGCCCGGCCCTCTTCCTTCCCTCACTCACCACTTCAACCTGTCAACCTCATGATGCCGCAGTGCCGGTCGCTATGAGCAGACCCTACCCTCACCAAACTGAATTAAACTCTTGACAACTCAGCGTCCCATTATCTTGAGTATTTCACGCCCGACGCTACTCGACTGGACGTCTACCGCCGCCGAATGACGTCTCAGTTCTTGCAACCGGCTGTCCATCATCGCCCATGCTCAAGCCCATAAATGCCTGATTCAATCGCCATGGACGAACCACAGGAGCCTCCTGCTGACGACAGTCATGCCTCTCGCCAGGGTTCGCCGCAACCAGGGCGCCGGTTGTCCATCGACGAAGACTTGTTTTACCACCGCGTCATGTCAGCTCCCCCCCGACGATCTTCGCTACCGCCACCTTATGTACCCGGCGAGTCAGCTTATGCCGATGCCACTTATCACAACCATACGAATTTCAACGGCGAGTCAAGCTGTGCTACGAGTGACGTTCCTGAGGAGCTGCCAGGCTATTCCAATTCGATTTACTTGGAAGGCATTTTCGCCAAGAAGTATGAAATTGAAGATACCATCAAAAGAGCCGAGGACCGCCGCTGGCACAACTGCTTTGTGGTTTTGCACGGGACCGCTCTTCACATCCACCGTATCAAGAAAGACTGGGGCTGGGGAAAGACGAGGGACGGTCCCAGCATATGTCCGGATAACCCTCCATGGGTGAGAAAGTCGAAGCTGGAGAAGACTTATAGTTTGTTGCACGCAGATGCTGGTATTGCTGCTGACTACAAAAAGTGCGTTGCCTTCTGAAATATTTGAAGTAACCTGCTAACATGACATGTAGACGACGCTACGTTATCCGCATCCGAGCAGAGACGGATCAGTTTCTTCTTTCATGCATCGAGCTAGGCACGTTTGTCAAGTGGCTCGAAGCCTTGTTTGCTGCTATTGACATTGCGGCCCCCATTGACGAGCGTGACTTTCCTCGCGACATGTCCATCCCACGAGTCCAGCGTATCCGTTGGTTCCGCGGACAATCACCAGTGCGGATGCCAAGCCCTGTACGGACACAGGACCCAGACCAGTCGATCGAACCAACAGCCCATTTGGAAGGACGACGTCACTCGTCTCCGCGACGCCCACGCGCTACTTCTCGCAGCGAAACAGCTGAAATCCTGGCACAAGATACACTGCTAGGGTTTCCCGATCACGAAATCGAAGGCGTACAAAACGCTATTGAATCAGACTCGGAAGAATCTGAAGAATCTGAAGACGAAGATGAGGATGCCCCCACCAGAGGGCCTAGGCTGGCGCACCGGCTAAGCACAACATCATACCACAACGCTTCAATAGACCCATTCTCTGGCAAGTGGTTCCCAGAGCACAAATGGTCAGAGGCACACGACATGCTTTACGCCAAGCTATGCTACAGCAACCTACTATTTCGGAGCCCAAGACGGTCCAACTACATTATCAGCAAGGGCAAGCAGTGGTTTGTCGACTGGGCTAGCGGACGCATGGTACGGGTTCTGCCACCTGGTTACGGTGAAGATGTCTGCGGGCCGTGGCAAATGGTCCACATGGAAAACACACGCATTTAAGGTATCAAGGCACTTTTATTACGAACATTTACGATTGGGGTTGTACATATGGACGATTACAACATGGTGGACATGATTACATGGTGGACATGTAGGGATGGATACCCGCCTGGAACAGTCTCTGCGTCTCAGAGCAGCAAGGACTTACTTGTACACGATTATGGTTGCATTGGGGGGGCTCTTAGAAGACGGGGCGTTTTTGTTATTTGTTTTGTTTTGGCCTGCGCTCTATTGGGCGCAGGCTCGCATGGGTGGCCGGCGTGATTTACAAAAGCTATCAAGAGGCAGTGCAGCAGCGACCAGTCTGTTGACAGGAGTATGTATACTGTCCATTTTGGATAGAGTTGAAGGCTACTTTTTTCCTGTATATAGGTGGCGTCTCGTTTTCGATGAGAAACGAGCAATACACTTTGGGCATATGTGCCTTTGCACCCTCTCTTTCTTTCTTACAGGTGCCTCTTGACGGTACACAGTTCCATGGGGAGGCGGATGACGAGACATTAGAGATGTATTGTGTGTATTGTGTGGCAGGCCCGGGTATCTGAGCCGTGGCGAGCAAGTGCCGCGCGTTGTTCAGCAGGGTACTGCTACCTCGTGGATGGTCTTGGGTGGTCAAAGGACTTTGCCGCCAATCACGGGGCTTGCAGTACACAGCAACAAATATAGGATGTACCCTGTTTTCGGCCGTTCTAGCGACGCCACATCATGTTCCCATTCCCCCTTGGCTCTGTCGACATTCTCCGCCCCGCCGCGCATAGTATCCCAAAGACGGTAGACCAAACAAGGTGTGCACTAAGCACAACGAGGGGGCTCTCTTTCTGTCGACTGTGGCAGCCGGGGCCGTGGGTATTCCCTCCATATCAAATTCAACGAATCGGTTGAGTGATAGCCCGACCACGGAGGGCTTCCCAACGAGGCTCCGCACGGTGCTCTCTTCCCCGAGCGGAAGACGGGGAGGGGCCACGTTCGCCTTGTGGCTGGAGCTGAAAGAGAACCCACTGGACAAAAATACCTGCCAAGGCGGCCAACATGATGAAAACGCCACGTTTTTGGGCGTGTCCCCGTGGCAAAAAAAAAGGAAGGAAAATATGCTTAATAAAATATCCCCGGTGACAGGGCTCCAGCTCCTTGGTGGCGTTTTCTTGTCTCTCGTTTCCCGCCGTTTTGCACCGCGCGTGGCGAGAGCGGGCGGTATATTTCCGCGTTGCTTTGGTAGGGGGGGCTCTCTGTTGGCGGTTAGTTTCTCTCTTTCTCCAACAAACGAAAACTTGTTTTTCCCGTTTTCCCGTGCTTTTTGTTCTTTTGCGCAAAACAAATGTTCTTCCTTTCTCAGACATGCTCGGCGTCCAGGCGCGTCTCCTCGACGAGCGCCCCGACGGCGGCCGCCAGGGCCTCGTTGGCGGCGCGCACATCGGCCGCGGCGTCCTCGAGGCGCGCCAGCAGCGCCTCGACCTCGGCGCGCTGCTCGCGCACCTGGCCCTCGAGCAGCCGGTTCTGGCTCTGCGTCGCCTGCAGCTGCGCGTGCAGCTGCGCGCGGTGCCGCGCGAGGGACGGGTGCAGGTGCGCTGCGAGAATGCTTCGTGGCGGGCGTGTGTGCGGTCTGTCTCGTTCGGTTAGCGAGGTGGTTCTTCTTTGTTGCTCCCATTGTAAAAAGGAAAAAAAGAGTTGGGAAACAAACGTACGGCGTCGGTGGTTCTGTCGCGCCAGCTGCCTGGGCTTCTTCCCTCGCCCCCTGGGCGTCGCTCACCAGGGCCTCGAGCTCGTTCAGCTTGCCCACAACCTGTCTATTTTCCAAGATTTTGGCAAACTCATTCTGCAATAACCACAATGTTCATTAGCCCCCCGTCTTTCTTTCCACGCACACAAACTCCCCCATTGTAGAAAACATACCTCGCATCGCATCTGCAGCTGGCTCGCCATCTGCTCCTGCACGCGGCGCAGGACCCCCTCGGCGCGCCGCGCCACCGTCGGGTAGCACCCCGCAAAGTTGGCCCAGCTCAGCTTCTTGAGCGTGCCGCCGAGGGCCTGCGCGTAAATGGCCTGCAGGCGCGCCGCCCGGACGCCCGGGGACACCTTGTCCTGCTCGCCTGACTCTGTGGTGGCGGCTGCTGCTGTCTCGGTCGTGGGGGGTTGCTGTTCTGCCATGGCGAGAGGAACAGACTATCGGGGGGGGTTTCCGCGCGTCTCTCGGCGAGTGGGATAAAATTGGACCAGCTGTTGTGGCGATGATTGCTTTTTTTTTTCTCGGTGGTTTTTTCTGCCGGGCATTGGTAGGGGCTCGTGTGTTGAAAGTCGCGCAAGCTACTCATGAAGCTGTTGGAGTGATGTTGGGAAGACGCGACAGGGAGACGCGAATGCGCGCGGCCCACCACGTGATGGACTCTGACAGCACTCTAACTGCATGTCTGCCCGCGTTTAATTTACACAACGTCAAAACCATTAAACAATATTTACTTTTGTATTTATTCATGTGAAATGAAATAAATATGAATTGAACTTGTAGTATGACAATCAGTCACTGTTGCACATGTAGTGGGCATCAGAGTCCTTTGTCTAGCATATCCAAAGTAGAGAATAGTATTCACAGTCTATCAGGGTATCACAGTTCCTCTCCATCGTCCCTAATTCGCCGACAAGCTCTCCACGTCGTCCACTGCCTGGGCCGCCTTACTGCCATCACCCGCGCCCTCGCGCGGGCCATATCTCTTGAGCTCCTCCTCGTCCTCCTGCCGCTGCAGCGCCTGCACCTCCCTCCTGCGCCTCACCTCCTCTTTGCGCGCCTCGTCGTCCTCCCGCCGGCGCCTGTCCTCTTCCTTGCGCCGCTCCCGCTCCTCTTCCCGGCGCTGCTTGGCCTCCTCGGCGCGCCGCTGGCCCTCTTCGGCCTTGCGCACGCGCTCCTCCTCCTGCTTGCGCTGCTTCTCGTACGTCGCCAGGCGCAGCGTGCCGAGCGTCAAAAAGGCCATGACGACGATGCCGAGCACCGAGCGCCAGATGAGCACCCATCGCACACCCTCAATCTCCGTCTTGGCGTCGGACGTGAGGTCGATGCTGATTTTGTAGCTGATTTTTTGAATCTAGAAAGCACAGGTTAATTATTTGTCCGTCATCACGTACGGCAGGGAAGGACACGTACTGCACTGTCCATGGCCTTTTGCTCCTCGCGCACTGCCTGCTTGCGATCGTTGTACATGCCCTTGACCGTGTCGTTGAGCGTCGCGACCTCTTGGTTCAGTGACTGCGTCAAAATGTCCACCTCGTGCTGGAGGTGCGTCCGCTGCTGACGAAGTTCCTCCTCGGCGATGCGCCGATTATTCTTGACTTCAGTGTTGAGTTCCGAGCACGCGGCGGAAAACAGATATGTTTCCTATCACGCTTGTTAGCTTCATACGCAAAGCGTCGTCTTGATAGGATTCCAGCACTCACATTCTCCACATCGCTCTTGCTCACGAGGCTCTGCTGCGCCACGTGCAGGTTCTTGGCCAGCAGCTTCCGGATCGCCTTCATCGACATGATGGCCTGCTGCGTCGTGTACCCGCCCTCTACCTCGAGGTGCTTCACAAGCGAGTAGCTGTCAAAGTGGTGCTCGTACGGCGGCGGCGACATGGACGGTTGGTGCTGCGGCGCCATGCTCTCCGGCGGCTGCATGTGCAGGACCGCTTCGAGCGGCCCGCTTGACTTGGCGGCCTCCTTGGCTAGCGCTGTCTTGATCTCTTCGGCTGTCGGTTCTCGGCTGCCGTCGGTCGTCCGCGATGGCTTGTCCGGCTCAGTGCCTTCCGTTTTGGCTCCCGTTTTGTCAGCGGCAGGCGGCGGTGGTGGCGCTTGGGGCGCCGCGGCCAGGATCACGTCGGGCGGCGCCGCGACGTCGCCCGCCTCGGTCTTCGTCGTCGGTGCGGCGGATTCTGGCTTTGGGGGTGTGGCCGCCTCTGGCTTCGTGGGCGCAGCGTCAGCCTGCGTCGGTTCATCGGTTCCCAGCGTCACGGGTGCATCGTCGCCGGCCTTGTTCTCAGCAGTGGCGACTCCGTCTTCTTCCTCAGTGGCCTCGTCTTTTTGCAGCTCCCATTCCTCCGGCGCCACGGCTTTGCCATGCCTCGGCGCAAACGAGCTCTTGGCTCGCCGCGGGGCGTGTACGGATCGTTTCGGGTTGACCGCAGCCCAGGTGGCGCGGTGACTCGCAGTTGCCGCCCATTGCTGCGGCTGCGCTCTCGAGGTCGCCCGCAGCAGATGCGGGTACAAGAATGTCAATCGCGTCGCCCCCGACATCTTGTCTCTCTGTGTGTGTATAGTCTTTGGGGGGGGGGTTTTCTTGTTTTAATCGATGCATAAATCGTCTCAGCTTCGAAATCGGTCTATCGCCTTTCTCTCCTCTCCTTTGTTTCGCGGACAAGGAAGAGGCGCAGGTGGTTTCAGACGGGCAAGGGGAATGTTGGGGGTTGTCCCCTTTGGCCCGTTTCTTGCCGAAGCTCGGTAGAATGCGTGCTTGTTGTTCAATGGAAAGAGTGCAGGATGCGAAGGCCGGACAGAGCTTACGCGATACAAAAGAAAGAAGAAGAAAAAGAATGGAACCTGAGAAAGGTCTTGTTTGTTGAGGTTTGTGTTGAGAGGGACAAAGAGGAGGCTGCTAAGCTGTGGCGGGTGGAGGCGGTTTATTCTTCTACTGGTAGATGTCCGCTGAAGGTGCACATAATTATTAGGTAACCTGGAGACACGTCCTGTCCCTTTTTTGAGGGTCTGGAAGAGTCAACTTGCCCCGACCACCGACCGGCCCTAGCATCGGAGCTAGCAATACAATCTCACAGACGACAGTGTACGAGACAAATGTCAAGGTAACGAACGGTAAGCTAGATGCCAATGAGAGCATAGTTACATGGCAAACTGTTAAGCAAGTCTCTCATATTCACAAAGCCCCAAAACAATCAACAGCCAATTCGCTTGCCTAAAACACCAAAGCACACGTACCAGTCCCCAACAGCAAAACTAACCCAGATGCAGCCATATCCAGAAAGCCCGAGCCCAATGCAATCCCTTCGCCCTAACTAGACCTGTATCTCAAGCGCAAAATCCTGGACTACTTCCACGCCTCCATTATTTGCAAAACCGCTGTCTGCGCTTGTAGAACGAAAGCAACTACCTAAGCACTATTCTGTAAAATATATAACACGTAGAAGAATTTGGCAAACACAAACGAAAACGCCCTTATACACTGTTGCAAAAAATGGACGAAACCAGCAAACCTTGTACGAGAAGAGAACAAAGCAATGGCCGTGTTGATCAAGAGCTCTTGCCAAAGAAAAAAAAAACGTCTTTTCCGCATGGCATCAAGACTGGTTCTCGTTAACCCGTCATTCCCATCTAAAGCCATGTCGTTGCGAAAGAATTATCCTGAATTGGCCCGTATAAAAAGTGGATTGAAAAATGTGCAGTTGTAAATTGGCAAGAGGGTATGGACATGAGCGAGCTTCTTTCCCTCTGGCCTTGGCGTATTAAAATGTCGTAGACGTGTACTATCAAGTGTGCGTGTTCCAAGGGGTATAAAGTCGGTCCTGAGTCTATGCGTCTTCTTTAAGCTTCCTCCTCGTGCACCTTGACAGCCCCGGGGGTTGGGCTAGATGCCTTCTGGGTTGCATCAGTTGAAGCCAGACTCACGGCACTAGCATGAGTGCTAGGTGGGCTGTTGGTCTGTGGGCTGCTGGTCTCGTTGGTCAATGCAGGAGTGGGCGTGGCCGAGTGGTCGTTGTCGCTGCGGTTGCCGAGGCCTAGCAATTTCTCAAGAGCTTGGAGCTGGCGCGATGCACCATTCTTCTTGAGCGTGTAGAACTGGGGCTTTATCTCTTCGACAAGAATCTCCTTCTCGGCGCCTTGCAGCTGACCCAAGAGTTTTTCTAAGTAATGTTAGCGTGCATTTAGAAGAGGTGATGGACGGTAGCTTGCTTACGGATGACATAGTTGCCGTACTGGTCGCGCATCATCAGCTGCAGTGGGCTGGTACCGTCCGGGCCAACAGTAGTGAGCTGCACGCGAATGGCGGAGCGCTGCTGTTGGGTGCCGTGCTCGATGCACTTCTCGACAACATTAGAAGCAAACTTGTGCTTGGATAGGGTAAGCAGCTGGGACATGACAAGCTGGATAAGCTTGTCGCGGTCTTCAGGCTTGCCGTTCTGGATGACGTGTTGCGCGACGTAGTTTCCATACTGGTCGGTAATCAGAATCTGCGCAGACGCGTGCAGCTCAGTCATAATTTCAAGCTTGTCAATGTCAGTGCCGTGCTCAAGCATGCGCTGGATAACTCGACAACCGTAGGTGTGAGAAGCGAGGCCGGTGACCTGGCCGCGCACGGCGTCCATGATGAAGTCAATGTACTGTCTGGGGACGAGCTCGATAATCTTCTGGATGACGTGGTTACCATTCTGGTCACGGATGACGCGGAGGATCTCGGGGTCAAGCTCCTTGGTGAGCGCAGCCTGCTGCTCAACAAGAACATGCTCGAGAGCCTTTTGGACTACTCGGCAGGCATAGACCTGGACCGAGAGGTCGACAACTTTGCCCCGCATTTTCTCGGCGAGAATCTTTTTCTGAACCTGGTTTCCGTGCTCGAAAAACTTTTGAATGACGTAGTTGCCAAAGACATCCTTCATGAGCTGGATGGCATTGGGCTCAATCTCGCAGAAAACCCGATCCTTTTCATCGCTGTTGGCAGATTCGAGCTTCGACTGGATAAAGCGGGAGCCATGCTGATCGCCGCTAAACTCTACAATGTGGCCATAGACTTCCTTCAAGTCGTAACGCCTGGACTTGCAGTTCGAGCGGTAGTCGTCGAGAAGGAAGCTGCGGACAGGCTTTGCGAGTTCCTGCTCGCGCGAGGATCGCACAGGCTGAAGACCGCCGTTGGTAGCATAAGCAGATGACATGGAGGGGATGCCGTAGTTTTGGAGCAGAGGGTGGCGGTAGTTTTGCGGGTAAGGGTCGAGAAAGCCGTGGGGATATTGGGAGGGCATGGCTCCGTAGGGGAACTGGTTTCCGTAGAAGGGTTGAGGAGGATAGGTGGGAGGAAACAGCTGAGACTGGGAGCGGCGGTCAATATCGGCAGTGCGGGAATCGTGAGAGGATGGGCGAGGGCCCCAGACATCCGAAGCGAGGGTGTGGTTGGCACGAGGGCTGTTGGTTGACTCCAAGCGGTAGGTGGGGGATGGAGAGATTCTATCGGTGGAGCCGCGTCTGATAGCAGAGACATGGGAACCAATGGCCTCGGATGTCGAGTATTCAAGACCGGATTGGTAGCGGGAGGTAGTATCAGCCATCCAGGGCTGGGAGCCAGGGTTGAGCTGGAATGTTTGCGAGGTCGGATTGGCAGTGGATGCGCCAGGGTAGTAGTCGAGATTCAAGCGATGGGCGAGCTGGTGGGACATATCGTCGTCGACCCTGGTGTTGTAGTTGAATGCGCGCTGGTTGGCAGTGGACATGGAAGCGGCATGGCTCACATGGCCGTTGAGGCCTCGTTGGGAGTGGACCGAGTTGCTATGGCCGTGGGGGTTGAGGAGGTCAGCGAAGGCGGGGGAACCCTGAGACTGGCGCGAGGCAGGCAGAGTCTGATCGCGGGGTGCGAAAGCGGCCATGGCATCGAAGGAGGCATCGTGAGGGGCACGCTGGGTCGGGAAGGGAACAACGAAGCTACCAGTGTCAAAGGCCGGCCTGTTCTGGCCAATGGCGGCGGATTGGGAATGGTCGAAGAAGGCGCCGTTGACAAGACCAGCCTCGCGGGTTCGGTTGGGTGAAGTGCTAGCGGAACGAGCGGTTTGGTCGTGGTTCCAGCGTCTGGAGGCCCAGACATCGGCTTGCGAGTTTGCGTTGAGGGCGCTGGAACCGGTGGGACTGGGATCGGAGTCTGCGATTGAAGGTTAGTATGACGATGGCGTGCAGGAACCGGGGACGAGGATGATTGCAGCGGGTAGAGCGCGAGAGGGTTGAACAATTGATGATGAAAAGAATATTGGGGATGAGAGGAAAGAGATGATAACGAACCTTGGGCGGCAGCACCGGTGCGCTCCCTATTATTGGCAATAGCGGCGTTCCAGATGCTTTGGCTCGGGTAGAGATTTGAGCTGGGAAAGCCAGAGCCCAGAGGCTGCTGGGCCTGGTCGTTGGGGCCAGAAGGCATGTTCGACTGTGGGAAAGTCGTGACCCGCCCCTGTAGATTTGAAGTTAGAAGTGTGAGAAGGAATAGAAGAAAGCGATGAAAGATGGGAAGAAAGGCGGGAGAGAAGAGATACGGGGGAGAAGAGTTGAAGAGAGACGAAGAAAAAAAAGTTGATCAAAGACAAAGACTGCGTCGAGTGTGCGTGGGGAGGCAAGGCCCAGGCTACGCTAGGAGGAGGTAGGTAGGCGGGTGGTGTTTGGTGGTGTTTGGTGGTGCTTGCTGGCAAAACTCAGAGGTGTCTTGGTGGTCTTGGTGCGAGTTGTAGGTGCTGAACGTGGCCTATTGGGGGGGGGGGGGGGAGGTGCGAGTGTGGGAGTGACTGAGTGTGAATATGGCGAGGGCGAGGGAGTGCTGGCCAGCCAAAAGCGCCAAAAGCCTAACAAACACTAGTTTGGGGTCGCCACAGTGAGACACACGAGCCCCGCGTGCGCTGCGCAAAGAAAAGAGAAAGGGAAAAAAACTCGAGTGAAAAGGGCAAGTGCGAAACGGGTATTGTGATTTTTCTTGTTCCTTCTTCTTCTTTTGGAAAGGCAATATAGGTTGGGAGAGTGAGAATAAAACTTACAGTACGCAACCGCATCATCTTGATGCTGCTGTCTTGGTATCGTCAGGGTCCAAGTGAGCAGTGAGCGCAATAGAAGCAGCGAGAAGACAGCGTTTGATGTTGGAGGCAGGCGGTGGAAGTGATAAACCAACCACAAACGACACGCACAAGGGGGAGGGAGGTCCTGTTTTTTCGGCGCCCAACAAGGGTTACTGATGTCAATGATGAAAAAATAGGTAGGCGGTCGTCTGGGACGTGTGCGCTAGCGGATTTGCGCTGCGTACTAGAAGCGTGTGGACCGGGGGCGAGGTGAACTAGTGACGATCTGTCAGACGATGAGTTTTGGATAGGGAGCAAGTGTATCGGCAGACGTGTTTCGAGTTGTGACGGGGAGAAGCAGGCAAGTGAAACAAGACGACGACGGCGACGACGACGACGACGGGCATAACCGAGCAAGGGAGGTGTTTTGGTGTTTCCAGCAGACGAGAGCCGGGGAGGGGGGAGCACGGGGGGTTGAAGCATGGATCCAAGCAACGACGGGGAAAAGGGATTCATAAATGGGCGAGTGACGGGTGGTTGGTGGTTGATGGGTTGATGGGTGATGGATGATGGGTGATGGATGATGGATGATGGGTACTGGTAATAGAGTACGTGATGTCGTAGCAGAATGCGGGATGGTGATGATGGGAAAGCCAGCTACCAGCCTATCCTAACCACGGACGAGCTGATAAAAGTGGGCGACGAGGCTTGGGTGGATGGGTGAACTTGATGGATTGATGTTGATGGCCCTGACAACTGGGAATCGTTGGTGGGCAACCAGACAGCTCAGCAGCAGTTCAACTTGCTGGAGCGCTTCAAGTCTATCCTTTCAAGACTTCAGTGAAGTGGAGCGAAGGTAAAAAAGAAAAAGAGGGCCCAGTGCACTGAAGGAGTAAGGCTGATCGCCATAAGTGCAGCAGTCCGGCAGGGGGGGAGCCAGCCGAAATTCCAGGTGTTCGGGGCTGGGCTGCTGGCGATGCGCCTCCCTCTAGCCTCTCGCTTCTCGCTTCTCGCTGCTTGCCCTGTCTTCGGCCGGGCACCAAAAAGAATATTGAAATAATATTTTGGGCAGAAACTCTAGGCCACGTAGCAACCAGAGCAGCTTCCCTCTCCGTGGTGCGTCACCTGTGCTGGTGGCTGCGGCAGCGCAGGGGCTTTTGGCGCTACACCAAAGGGAGCGGTGGGCTGGCTTCAGTGGGCAGATCTCTCGGCCCTGCACCAATAGTCAAGGGAAGGGAGGGGAAGGGATGGGGGACGGGAGACGGGGGACGTGAGACGGGGGCCAAAGGCTTCCGATGGGCGATGGCTGAGAACCCAACAGAGAAACAACAGAAAACCAACCACTTACCCGAAGGAGTTGAAGAGCTTGGCAAGACGACAAGCTGGATGCGGGATGGGATGATGGTAAGTTGGATGTAGGATGATGGTTCTGAGCTTTCTCGGGTTTGAGCTTTGTTGTGTGTTTGCGAAAGGTGTTTCCGAAAGGATGCTCGAGTGTTGATTTTTCTCTGTCACTGGCGTCGATATACTGAACCTTAAAAAGCGTGACACATTGGTGCCTGGTGCGTAGAATATAGAACGAGAAATAGGTACAAGCTATAACGGCATGTACAGAAAAAATAGCGATCCGAGGAAAAGCTTGTCAAACAGACAAGGAACTAAATAAAAAAGAATTTTGTAAAGAAGAAAAAGGGCAGTGATAAATTCGGCAAAAGTATATACCAGTTGGTGACTAACAAGCGGCGGAACAGGCGGTAAGGACGTATTCAATGCGCAAGTCGACGCCGTGTATCTTGGTCATCCGTGTCGTAATGCAGTGTACCTTTTTTTTTTAGTCGATTCGATGCAGAACATGCAGCAAAGGATAAAGAGGAGGGAAACGCTTAAAGAAGAAGAAGACGAGATGGAGGGTAGTTATTATAACAGGAACTCGCGCAAGACGGTGTTGCCACAATGCTCCCGGAACACAAGACGCGGGATACACAGTCTTGCGAGGGTTTGTGGGTGTCTCTTTTCGTCGGTTTTTGCGGCATGGAGCCAATAAAAGAAAATAAAGGTGCCCGGGCGAGGGATTGCGGAATGTTGGCGCTGGCGAGGGATAATATCAGACTGGAATGGTGGACGAGACAAGATGAACATGGCCAGGGGGGTGGGGAGAGGCAGATGATGAGAGACTCGTTGCAGAAATCATAACTAGGTAGGTAGGTAGGTAACTAAAGGTACGAGGTAATTTAGGGAATAGTTGGAGGGAGAGCGCGGAGAGGGAGGCGAGCCTGGTACTGGGGTGGGGACAACACGACTCGATTCTATCTTATTACGACTTGCTTGCCGTGAGATGGAAGAAGCGAGGGCACACTCGGTATCATGCAGAGATGCAAGACGACGACAAATTATGCAGACAAGAGCAAAAAAGCTGCTGCACAACATGGGTGGAGAGGTGAGGCCCCGAGGGGGTGGCGGGTGGCGGGTGGTGTGTGAGATTGTCTGGCACAGCTGCCAATGGGTTACAGATTCGCAGCACAGAAAGAACAAGAAGCTTGCATCACAAGAGAACAGCCTCGCGATGGATGACTCCAAGGGCTGCTGGATCGACTATTCTATTGGAGTGGCTGGCCCCTCACGATGAACCACCCCCAGGGCAAGCGAGCTCCAGAAGTGGGCTTTGTTGACTGTGAATCGGTTCCAGCTCTTCACCCACCGCACCGGCCGTTTGGAGATGCTGTGCTGCGATGCACAGGGTGCAGGGCATATGTACAGGATGTATGCATCTCGTGCGCGCCCATGTGGCTGCTCCCGCGCCTTGTCTCTGCTTTTTCCTGGGGGTGGTGGAGCGTGCTTTGATATAATTTAACCATGTCAAGGGAGAGCTTGCCAAGAGACAACGCCCTTGAGCGGGATGCAATATTGGCTATCCGCTAGAGGAGGGGATCAAAGTAGAAGAAAAAAAGACAGGAAATGGGATCCGGATTCGCCGCGGGGAGGCTGGGCGACCATTGTTTGCCTCCATGCAACTGGGAGGATGATTGGGTGTTGGCAGCAGGAAGCAGGAAGCAAACAATGCGCCCATGACTAAGGTACGCGTAGAGAGAGGAAGAAGAAGGATTATTTTTAAAAAAGAAATATAAAAAATAAGCGCTCAAGCATAAACGTCAATGCCAAAAGCTCGGCTCGACCGACTCAAAACTCTGGCAACCCGTCTGCCTGGAAACAATGCAGCTAGGTACCATCGAGACAGAGGCGTTGACAGACACATGCCACCTGCATAAGACCATCAGATCTCTTCTTGTCCCAACTATGTATGTCTGCCTAGTTACTTCCGTCCCGTCCGGTTACATGTCAACACCTCCACCCCAAAATAAATTCATTCCCTCCATCACTCTCTAAATTAGTAGTACATCAAACCTCCCTTCTCATATCCATATACATTGGTTACTCGGCACAATTCGCCCTAATGACCACACCTACAGAAAATGTCCCTGCTAATCCATGTCAATACCACCTCGTTCTCAGTACCTGTGTACCTTATTAGTAGCTTCCCCAGTCACCGCCTCTGCCGTCATCCGGCCCCGAATGCGACCCTCCTCCTCGCGTAACGAATTAATAACTTGATAACTACGGAGTACCTAGTTACGAATACCATCCCCTTTCCGTTAGTAGTCAGTCCATGGAACAAGTCTCCTCCCACTTGTTCCTCCTCGCCCTCACTCACTCACTCCCGCCATGTTTACTACAACATCGTCAGCCGCCCATGACGAATCCACAACAAACACCACCCCGACTCTCCAGGAAAAATACGACGTCGGTCATGCTCTCCCCTTGTTCCTTCCAAGTTTGTGGCAGGAGGCTAGAACCAGGCACAACACAAGACCCATTGCGCCATCTCATTTTTATTTAACGCCACAGAGAATCCCCCCGCCATCTAACGCCAGAGGTACCCCGCTAGCCAACATGACCAGCACCGCGGCTTTCGATGGTGGCATCATCTCGCACTTCATATGACTGCCATATGACTATCTCATCGACACGCCCATCGCGGCTGTCGTCGCATCCCCGTAACCCATTCAGTTATATAAACTTGTCTCGCCCATAGCACTGCTTGGCCCATTCGCCATGGCTGTCTCCGCTGTTTCTCCTTGTTGAAGACACGTCAACCGGATCTCGTCACCAGATCAAGTAACCATTGACAATCACCATCACCCAGGCACAATCGTTGAACTCGGCGCGACTGCCCACGTCTTGCAGCATCTGCCTCGCTCGCTATAGGTACTCCGCCATACTATGGCTCCTGTATATTCCTCCGTGCAGAATATACCATGGCCGCAAATGGCCGCAAATGGCCTTGAAGCGAACATGTTGCACCTCCAACGTGCGACCATCAAACCGGCAATCAGTTTGTCGAATCATCACCACGTCCGGGGAACCTGACCCGCATGTCCCGTACCACATCCAAGTTTCTCCTTGTTCTTCTTGCCCCGTCTGGTTTCTGGTTACCGCTCTTTAGCGGCTTTCCTCAAACTGTGGCTCCACGCGGCTCGCTGGAATGCCCATCCATGTGATTCACGACCGTTGACATGCAAACATGCACCCCTCGAGGCTTCGCTGCCACGCCCGGAATGTAAACGCAGGCGCCACCTTGCTGCCAGTCTTTCATTGGCTGGGCCGTTGTAGCGCTCAGGCACCACAAAGAACTTGTTATGGGTTTACTCTCGCTATTTGTCTGCCGATCCTTATCTTTGCTTTCATCACCTTGTAGTCTTCCGTCTGAACAGACGCGGGAGGATGTTTCTAGTGTCAGGCTCCCGCTAGTCTGCCGAAACATGGCTTGCCCATGGTATGTTGATATTCGCCTGTATGTCTATTCCAGTAGGGCTGCGCGATATCTACAATTGTGCTACGGGTTCATCCAGCTTGGGTTTCAACTTGCGCCTAGGCCACAGGACATTGACAAATATTTAGGCTGTTGAACATCATTTCAAAGAGTGAAGTCGCGGAAATGAACTCACATACTGCAAGGCCAGGCAGAGAGAGCTAGCCGACAACCGTCGCTAGTACAATATCTGCTCAATGGTTGGTTCGAGCAGCCTCATTCAAAGTGCAGACCTTGCCATCAAACTACCAGCCTGACTGAACTGGCAACGCCAGAGATCAATAGAAATACAGTGCGCGTTTTCTCAGCGCGAAGAGACGAATGCGGGTTTCATCGTCTGTGTCGCAAGACGTGACTACGCAGATCGGAGCAATTCTGCAAACACGGCTCCAGGGTAGGCTGCAAGAGTGGTCCAGCTTCTTCGTCGCAGGCCTTGACCTTTCGAAGTAAAAAAAGACGTTACATCTGAGTTGCAGCGTTATTTAGTAAAAGAGATAGACGGCGTGTGTGGTTTGTCTCTTGTACGTGCCCTGACACAGTCCAGCTGTGGCAGCCAACAAGCGATAAATACAAGATGGAGTATAGGAGCCACATCATCGTTGTTTCCTACCCACTGTCATGCGAGCTACTCATTCATGTCTTAGTAAATGCTCATATACGTCCTCTTGTTTCTATGCAAAACATCCATATATGTACCTGTTTGACTAGACAAGAGCATACTATGTAGCTGGAGCCATCTCCGTGACCGGGAGATGCGACGGGAACGGCCACGGGCACTTGACCTCTATGCGACCTTTATGCAATTCCGCTGATATCAAATCCACCACTTGAAACCGTCAACCCATGTGCGCCGTTCCTTTGATGGCAAGCCAGCCATCGACTCGGAACCTGGGGAAAGCGGTTTCGGTCGATCTGGCTCGCAGGGTCCTGACACGCCGAGGGTGGAGCCCATAAACGCCCTGAGTCTGTAACAGAACGGATACCTATGCTACTCCGTAGTTAAAATTTGGTTAACGGGATGAAATCCGGGGAAACAAAAAGGACAAAAAGGGTACGTACGCGACGGTGTGGGGTGCGAGTTGCACGGTGATTGGGTGATTGGGGTGAATGGTTCATTGCTAGGCGCCGGGTTGGATAATGCATGGATGCATGGACAATCGGATGCACGTCATGCCGCGTGACGGGGAAAAGGTACGGCGGCAAAGAAAGAGGCTCAAATACGAATGCTGGAAGTACGGACAATAGTATGTGACTGTGTCTGCGGATAGTTACGCAGTCTTTCATCTAACGTTGGACACATGGGAGCTGCTGGTTTGTAGAGACGCAGATCGAAGTGTTGTAACTCGAGGAAAGGCGCAATGCAGAATGCAGGTCTGTTCCCTCGGTTTACTGTATATTAATAACTAGTTAGTTTATTTATTGCTGAGATGCGAAACAAAAAAGGGGTCTTGTGACAGCCGACCGATGGTGCCTCTGATAGTGTCACTCCATGGCAGCCACCAACGTTGTCGCTCAAGCCCCTGCGCTACCCACTCCGTATAGATCAGGGGGGCTGCAGCCAATGGATGGTGGCGCCCAGTTCTCGAGGGACCATCTCATTTCCCAGCATCTGGGGCCTTGTTTTCTTTCCCTGTTCGTGTTTGCTCGCGGAATACATTGGGTTTGTGGGGAGGCTTGTTGTTCGTTGTTGCAAGTACGGGAACCTGGCCCGCGGGGTGGGAGACCTCGGGAGAGGCTTGCGGGATCAACCCGAGCGGTCCCTTCTTTCGCAAGTCGTCTTTGCCTCGTTACCCGTACATGCGGAACAAAACAATCATTTGCTCAAAAGAGCCGGCTGGACGGTGAAATGCGAAATGGCGGACAAAAAGTTCTCGGCCGCTCTCTGGACAAGGGGGCACGGTGGGCAATCCACTTTTCACCAAGTACCCCAGCCAATCGGATATGGGACGCTAAGCCTGTTCCTGTTCATGTGCCTGACGGTCCGCCTGCAAGGTGCGCTGGAAGGCCGAGGGCCAGTAAACAAGCGCCCAAGCTCAGAGATGCAGAAAACCCTGCAAGTAAAGTGCAGGCAGGGATGAGCCCAGGGCACGAGAAGAAAACAGGCACAGGCACACTAAATTCCTCCATTGTTACGGATACCAGTAGTTTGCGCCGTTCACTGCCCTCTCCGCCTCCCGTCACTGCCTCGCTCTCACCAACAACGGCCCACCCACCCCGTCTCCGCCCCCTTCTTCCCTTCCTTCCTCCTCACGCCTCCTCGACTTGGCAAGTTCGACCAGACAAACAATACACTCTTTTCCTCCCAGAAGGCCGTCCCTCATTTTTCGCGCCTTCGTCTTTCTTTCTCCCTGCTATGCTTTTCTAAAAACAAAATCCATTTACACTGGACGTTCGTTGATCAGAACTCCAACCGCTCCTTGGTGCTGCTCAGCTTCATTCCTTCAGCTGGCGCCCGTCCTATCCTTCCTGCCACCCGCTGGCCTCTGATCCAACCACGACGCTCATTCTAACCGGAGAGAAGCAGAAAAAATCCTGTTCCGAACACTTGACGTACGTCTCACATTTTACTTGCACATCCATTTTTAGCCTGCCTGCGCCTTGCTTTGTTACCGCCCTTCCGTCCAACCACAGTCTGTCCTGGCCTCTGGCAGGAATGCCTCGAGAATGCAGCTTCCAATATATTCAACACCGTCTCTCAATACTCGCCAACTACTCCTCATACTATTTGCTTCTGCATGCTCTTTAAATCGCCCAACTAACCCCGCGTTCGCATCAATAGCCTCCCACGACTTCAAACTATCTGTCCTTCATTTATAATATTGAGCACATCTCGTCTCGATACCTCCACGCCAAGTCATGGCACCTACCGCCCCCCTCAAGAACTTTGCTGCTCGCAGCGCCGGCACAATTAATACTGCCCTAGCCCATCGCCCAATCATTATTGACCGCGACGAGACGTCTGGCCTGGAGCCCTTCCGTCGACTCATTTCCCGAAACTCCAACTCCGAAGATGGTTCCGACAAGATGATCAACGCCCTCATCACCGTCCTCGTTCTCGCCTTTGTCTCCATCATTCTCATTTCCACCCTCTACTTCTTCCGTCGCTCCCGCCGCCTCCAGAAGCTCCGCAACCAGTCGCTGCCTACCTACAACGACGCCAGCAAGGAGCCCATGCTTCAGCACAGCCTCACCATTGAGACCAAGCACAACGGCCGCTCCAGCATCGTTGTCATTGGCCGCGACGGCCAACCTATGCTGCAGAACCCCAACTCGCCTCCCGACTCTCCCGACAACGTTCCCGAGATTCACATCACCTTCCCCGACGAGCAGGGCGACGACGGTCGCCGCAAGAGCGGCCGCGTCCTCATTGTCAGAGTCGGCGACAATGCCGCTGTTGGCCTCGAACCTGTACGAGAAGAGCAGCTTCCCGCCTATGAGAAGGAAGCCAAGGGCCAGTTCCAGTCCATCGACATGGACAAGATTGGCGGCCTAAAGGAAAAGGATCGCAGCCTGTTTCAATAGACGACAATAACCATGACTGCTTAGCCTACAACAAATGGGCATCGAAAAGACTGCCCCAGTTACCTTCATCACCATAACCGACGACCTTTTTTGACGACATTTTTCTTTTTCAGGATACACAAGCCATTTACGTGGCAACCAAGACATACAATCCTTATTTTTCTTTCCCCCTTCTTTGAAATGCTCCTTTTCTTCATTGCTGGGTTTCTCTAATCTCGACACTTTGCACAAGCGCGCAATTTTCGATTTACTTCTATCGACTATGTCCGCTACGACTGGCGGATTTGTTTGAGCGGCAGGGACAAAGTCTGGATCTTGAACCGACAACAGCACCGCTTTTTACAGCCTGACTGAAGGAGAGGGTAGCCCGTGAGCCTGGTCACCGATTTACAGCCTGCGTTTTTATTTTTGGGTTTTTTTTACCGCAAGACTTGGGCTCCGGCTGTGGCAAATACCTGATTATAGCTGTATATTTGGCATAGTGTATAATACATAGTACAAGTGCGTTGATGCGTGTTTGCTTTGACCCGTATTGCCCTTTTACATTGTCGCTCCTATACCTTTTTGAACATTGTGATTGTCATGTCATGCAACCTTTGATTTGCTCGTCTGTCTCAAGCATCACTGTTGGTTCATCGAAATCTGTCGTGTAGCATGACGTTGTTTGTTTATTTGGCCAACTCCACTATTGTCTTGCACCAGTCGTCAAAACTTGTTTTTCTTGTCTCATCCAGCCCCTCCCCCTCCGTCATTGTTGTAGGTTGGGGAATTCACGGGGCAGCATTCCAGTCGCGTGCGCGCGCGTGTGTCGGTTACCACTTGGTGGGGGGGGATGTAGCATCGCAGGAGCAGCCAAGGCCCGCCCGCGTCTCTGGCCCCCCAAGCAGACTGACCAGCAGAAAATATTGTGAGGGAGATAGGAGGGATGAGTGTTTGTACGTCGACATGCCATGTCCACTAAATGGGTTGAAAAAGGTGCAAAGAATTAACATGATTAAATCATAATACAGGGAATAATACAAACAACCATGAGTGCAGCCCTCTCCGACAACATTCCATAACGATGAGTGCAGCTCTCTTCGACAACAATCCATATGAACCAAAAAAACCCAAAGCCAGTAAAACCTCCTGTACAAGACAGACAGGAAGAAGAAGAAGAAGAATAAGAAGAAGAAGAAAAGGAAAAAAAAACAAAAAAAACATCCATGACTCCCAAAGCGCCGGCCCACAAGGCGTTTTATTGCTGATATGCTGTGCGCTGGCTCTCCACCACTCTCGCATCCTTTCCTTCGTGTATCAAAACCACCGATTTTGCGCTATGAAGTATAATAAATAAATGATAAAATAAAACAAGAATATTATGTGCGATACAAAGCACGTCATGCATTGGCTTGTTCTCGTCTCTGGTCAAGCCACGGTCCCTATGATGGGGGCACCGTGGCAGCATCCTCTTCAGGGGACCAAAGCATGGGCTTTCCGCAAATATTTTCGGCGGCATACGACCGGTACCGGTCTAGGATGTCTGTCGTGGGCAGCTGCTCAGACTGCGGACCAAAACTGTAATGGGCGACAATGGCTCTACCATCTGCCACAGCAGCGCGGCCCGACTTCTCAGGCATGGTGACGGAAAAGTGCTGCTCGTCATCCTGGCCAATGGGCTTGGCGCCGTTGATGTCTTTGCCCATAATGGCCATGAATTGGATGCCGAGGCGCTTCAGCTGAAAGTCCCACACGTTGAATTTGTACCTATGGAGCTCCTTGTTCTCCAAGTTCTCGAAGAAGCTGTAATGCTGCTGGGCAGCAATCTGCCAGTGACCGAGGCCTTTACCAAAGGCATGGTACTCGGTGTTGACAATGGGAGTTCCATCTAGGATATGGTCCTTACGATTGCGGATGGGTAGCCAACGGTGCTTCTTCTTGTCGGGCGAGTTCCACTCGAGAATGGCCATATCGTCGGGGCCTTTGTACTTGGGCAGCGTCGAGGCACGCCAATCGACTTGCTGGCCAGGTTTGAGCTTCGGGTAGGGGTTCTTGGTATCGGGCAGGTAAGGAAGGACTGCACCAAGATTCCAGTGCAGCCAGCTGATCATGGGCTGGTTGACGACGTTGGCAGAGACAATGTAATACTCAGGATGGGTGAGCTTGGTGCAGACGAGGGAGAGGATAGCATTGTCGTCGATAAAAACCTGCGCATGTGATTAGATAGTGTGACAAAGTAGAGGGTGGGGGGCGCATGGCAATGCTGTGTACTCACCACATCGTCGTCAATCTTGAGGTAGAGCGTGTCGTTGTCTAGTTCGTCATAGGCACTGGCAAAGCCCGATGCGTCTGTGCGGTCCACATCTCGCTTGCTGTAATGGGGCTCGGAGTCGAGAAGTTTTTGGAGAAATTCGATGTCTTCTTCCTTTTCGGTTCGCCGCAGCCAGATGACTTCGTCAATGAGACCGCCGTTGCTGACAAGGTTGCGCTAGTATACAAGGTCAGCTTTGGATTTTTTTAATCCGGGCAGTCAGAAGCAGCTGCGAGGGTTCTTGCGAACGGGGTAGGGCCTCGTCTTCGTACCTTGAGGTAACAGTCAAGAATGGAGACGGTGTTGCGTCGGCCGTAAAAGATGAGGACGACGACTTTGGGGACGGAGAGGGTCTGGCCGTGGGTGGTGCTGGAGACGTTGCGGCCGCGGACGACGGGGACGCGCTTGGAGGGGAGCTGCTCGCCAATCGGTCCTGGGCAAGTCACCTCGTGCATGCGGGCGGCAACGACGGGGACCTGGTTGTGGCCGCCGTGTAGCAACGGCGCGGGCAGCAGCGATTCGAGGTTGAGGGAGTGCCATGTGTAGACAAGCAGGGCGATGAAGAGCACAGAGGCAACAGCGGCGCTCCGCTTGTTGCGATGGACCTGCGCCAACATTGCCGGTGGTGCTCTTTTATTTCGGTCTCGTTGGTGTTGCGCCCGGGTAAGCTTTTGGTTGGAAAATTCGACGATGATCGTGTCCGGGAGGAAGCCGTCGCGTCGATGGAGGAAAGGAGACGCAGAGGGTTAGAAAAGCGGATGTACCACGGCGAAAAAAAAGGGGAGGGAGTGTGAGATGGCCTCGCTGCTGCGCCTGGTGGAACACAGACACGGGAGCGAGACTCCAAAAAAGAAATGGCCGATTAAGAAAAGGAGACCAAGAAAGCAGAGACAAGAGAGCGAGAGAGGGTTAGAAAGAGAAGGACGAAGAGCTCTAAACCTATAGAGTCTCGCAGGGATTATGGGTAATGTCGAAGGAGGAAGGAAGGGAGGGAAGGAAAATTATAGGAAAGAGCCGATAAGGAACGCAACTAACGCTTGTGGCGTGTGGCTTGTGGCTTGTTGCGACTCCTACCTACCTACAAATTACATACTACCTACCTGTTATCACAGCGGTGCAGCTGATAGGAGAGGACAGAGAGCTTCGAAAGTCCTTTTGGCGAATGAAATCACTTCACCTGTACAGAGAACGAGCATTTCATCTTTGATTCCTAATACTCGGTACAATCCGCAAATACTCTAGAGCTAGTTACGGTTGCTCGGAAAATCACTTGGCACAATGCACTCCCCTTGCTCATCAGCTCTTGTCTTCGTACGCTGTAGGGCTGTGCAGCCTGTGCTCCTGCTCCCTGCTCCCTGTCCCTCCCTACTGGGCGCAAGCGGGCAAGCCGTTCCAATGGGCCGGCCCACCCGGCCCACGACTTCGCCCCTCCCTGGCCTGGCTGACGGCGAGTCCCATTGCTCCCTGCAAAAGAACTCTTCCATCTTGCGGCGCATTCATCTAACTAGTTACATTGTACCTACAAATTCAATCGAGCAAGGCTGCCACGTTGGCTTACTCCGCACATCCCTCAACAGGTGCCAGGATGTGCCAATCTCATTGGCCCGGTCGCCGTTGCCGTATTGAATTAGTACAACTAAAACCTTAATCGGATAGGCTGAAGGAGCACCAGAAAAAAAAAAANAAAAAAGAACCGCACGAAAGGGAGAAGAGCAAGACAAGAAATACGTGCATAATAAACCTTGCCGTCCATCTCATCTCAGCCACCACCCCACCACCGTTCTTGGCACTTCGACGTTTTCGGGCTGCTCCTGCGCCTCTTTGCCGCGTTTGGGAGCACTAGCAAATGATGAAGCAATACCTTCCGTAGCAATATTCATGTACAAAATTGCAATACTTTCCGCATCAACTTGTAGTCATACTACGATACACATGCAGAAGTCATGGCTCTTGGCTTCTATCCTCGCAGCACATCTCACATCACTAACATCACATGTCCATAGTCCGTGCATCGGTGAATTAGCATTGCAGCTCCGGAGTTGCTCCCTTTTCCAGAAGATACATACCAACACGCCGTCGAATTCATGGGGTATCAACTGCTACCTAATCAAGGGCAGACTATCCAACAAGAAAGAATATACGCCGAAAGGGTCCCTTTATGAGCCCCGTTTTATCTCTACTCGCAAACGCCAGTCATCATCGTGTCATCCCCACTGGATAAATAGCCCAAAATCCAACAAAAGTCGTGACAAGTTTCCAAATCTTCTGCAAGCATCATGCTTCTCAAAAACGACCTGGATACAGAAATTGCGACCCCTCCGAAGATCCATTCAGATACTTGTTCGAGTACCCATTCACCTGACGCTGCTGATGCCGCAGGTACGCCGAAACATCCTTGTCGCTGTATGTGCGCTCTGACATTATCACCTGCTCTCCACCAGGCGTAAGCCGCTCGTCTTCCTGGATAACCCTGCTCATGTCCCTGGAAAAATCAGAAAGCGGAGAGTTTTCAAACGAGTTGTCGCCGTCGTACAACCCCAGCCCTATATCTTCCAGCGGCGCCATCCGTGCCTGCTCCAAAAAGAGCGGCACACCAGGCGGTCCGCTTTCCATCTCGAACCCAAGATTCACTGCGCCGTTCAGGCTCCCGTCGTCTGGCGAAGGCACGTTGACGCTGGCACTCCATTGTTCATTCGCAGACAAGTCGCCACTGCCGAGGATAGACCCTCCGTTTGGACCCGAAGTCATGCTTAAGCGCGTCGCCTCAACCAGCACCGAGTTGGGAGTCTCGTTCAACTTTCCCGTCCTGTAGTAGTGATCCACCATGGTCCTGTTGGCATCGTATGCTTGCTTAGTGATGCGAGAGACGTGGCTCCACGGCTCCATCACTTTAAACAGGCTGTCGATCATTTCTCTCACGTCGGCTTCCGTCACTACACGCGAGTTTATGCCCCTCCACGGTGGGCTCGTCGTATTGCCCGCAAGATCATGGTACAGGTTGTGGCACAGCGCAACGACCAGCACGCGAATGGCCTGCGTGCACATGTGTGTGATGGAGTAATCGCCGGTCAATCGAATTGGTAGTAGGGAGGGGTGCCTTTCGTGCTCGTGTCGAACCGCGTCGCAAAATGTGGCGACGCTGATGGAGTGCCCGACCGCCTGCTTTTGCGATGCGAGCACAAAGTCCCGCGGCAGCCGTTGCAGAAGATCTGGAGCTGTACCGTGCACGCCTGGCAGAGAAAAGCGATACAGGTCTACGTGGCTGACACCAATATGAGAGTGCAGGTAGATGTAGCCGTTGCGCTCCTCTGTGCCCATGATGTGCTCAATGACCCGATCGTTCAGCTTGTACTCCTTGGGCAGCGACATGTGGAAACGCCCGAGTTCATTCTGGAGAGCTCTAATCTCCGACATGACCGCCGACGGTTCTGGTCGCGAAACGTTGACTTGAGGAAGAGTCAATCGCTTAGCCGCCCTGCCGTTGTTGTTAGCGCGAATGCTCCTTGCCCATGTGGGATAGAACCACACTTACACCTGAATTCGATGCCTCAAATCACACAGCCGAAGCTGCCAAGCATGCAAACCAGCGTCCACCATGTTCACAGTTGGGTTCATGTGTAGTCGGTCGACTAGCACAGCATAGTTCCCGCGATAGGCTTCCTCCTTGCAAGGTAGCCGGAGCTTCCAGGTATCCTTGCGATTTGCAAGATACTCATCATAGCCTCCGGCGAGTAGCCGATCCATGTAGAAGTTCTGCCACACTAGCCGACGCAAGCTCTCTTGCTCGACCCAAGAGCGGCCTGTGTATATCCCGGAATCCCAATTCGCCTGCAAGCCAATCATGATGCGGGAGCCAATGCCGAGACATGTCCACACTCTGGCATAAGAGCCGAGAAAGAGGTTGAATAGTGTATTTAGGGTGGTAAGCATGAGAGACTCTTCCGAGAATCGATCAATGCTTCGAGTGAGATATGCCTCAACTTGGTTGCAGCATCTCTGGCCAAAATCACGACCAACTTCGCCAGGATTAGCAAAGAAGCATGTTACCGAGCATATCGCAGCGGCCTTGGCTGGGTGAAGTGTCATTTCCTATGCAGGCTCAGAGTTAGTTTCCATGATGCGCAGGAGCTAGTGTGGACATGTGCGTACATCAATCTGGCGCCATATTGTAGGAGGGTGGAGAAACCCCAAACTCGGCATCCAGTAGAGACAGTGCATGTATACTTCAAAATGGCGCGAAAGGATGTCTCTCTTAATCATTTTGTCCCTGCAGATGCAAATTAGCACGAGGACGGGTAGCTCGGGGGTTGATAGCGCGACATACTCGGCGTTGAGAACGTTGGGGTCTAAGAGCATAACATAATAGCCCTGAAGGGTGTTAGTCGTCGGGCTATTGGCCGACGCCTCTTCAGTAGATTGCATGCTGACGGCGGTCTCGGATGGCGTGGACACGACATCGGTGCCGTTGGCGGCATTGTAGCGAACACTTGTGAATTTTCGCTTGGTGGGTGTATACTCGCACAGGAGATTACTGGCCTCGCAGCGTCGACAGCGAGGCAAATCACCCGAGCATTTTGTCTTGTGCGAGTGGCATTGACCACAGGCTCTCTGTGCGCGCTTGCGTAGGGTGCCGGCCTCGGTGTGGCTGGCGCTGGGAGTGGTTCTTGACACGCGATCTGTGGAACATGGCTGTTAGTTATTGCAATTCGCCCAGAAGGGGGTTGTGCACTGTTCTTCGTGGTTATATGTGCGCGCGTGCATTACCCGACGATGTGAAACAGGCTGCTGTTTGTGAGAAGACGGCAGTGAGACGGAAAAAGCGCGTACCTTGAGAATCACCCGCATTGCTGGTGCTCTGAAAGCTACAGGCGAGCTCGAGGCGTACACAATTGGTGCACGGCCCAGTATTGGACTTGCCAGTGCATTTTACCTAAAATAGGACAAGGCACAGCGTTAGAAAAGCCGCGATAAGTGCGTAGTGCGTTCAAGGACATGCTGCTGCGTGGCGGAGAGCAAGCGAGCAGGCGACAGGCGGCGAAAGGTTTCAAGAGCGCTGAGAAGCTGGGCTGCAACGGGGATGAGTGAAGGTTGGTGCTTTGCTTACCTTGCGTAGCCTGCAAGTGCGACAACAGTCAGGAGCGGCAATGGTTGCCCTGTAGCGTTTGGAAGCTGAAGAATCTGCTGATGGCGCGGGCGACGACTCGTTTGACGATGGGTGTTTGCCAGAGGACGACTGAGCATCAGCGTCGATCTGACGCGGAGTATCCATGGAGGGCAGTGGGTCGCAGCATCAGAGGGCGAACTGCCTAATCTAATGGATCAAGCAGATGGTGTCGCCGGGTAGGCGTTGGCTAGGCGCGCTGCTGGCACGATGAGAAAACAAAGATATGAAGAAAAAAGGGAGGCAGGCCCGGCACTCGTCACGGCTCTCGAGGGCGTGCTAGCTTTGGCTGCAAAAGCGCTTGGAGTGTGTGCACTGGTGGTGGTGGTTGGCCGAGACCGCGGAGAACCGGGGAGAGAACGGAATTTAGCCGAGAGGACTCGTTGACGCAAGGTCAGGAAAAGGTGAGCCAAATGCGATGAAGATGAAACGGCGGAGAGGGCCGAAGAAGGTAGTCAGCAAAGAAGGGGCTGCTGAAAGCAGGGTTGGCTGGAGAGGAAAGGGACAAGGAGCAGAGGAAGGAGATGGATGGAAGGATGAAACGGAGCTTGACAGCTTCAAGAACATTGGCGTTTGCCTTGGGCAGGATCGGTTAGAAGAAGAATAGGTATTCAGCAAAAGGAAAAGGAAAAGGGAAAAGGAAAAAAGTAGCAAACATCAAGGTCGGGCCGGCTGTCGCGCGATGGCCGAGCACTGGGGCTGTACTAAGTCACCGGTGTGGTGCGTGTGGTACCTGCTAACGTTGGTTCTAGGTACCTATAGGTACCTGTAATTGAGAAATGGAGGGCGAGCTGGTGACTGGTGGCAGTGGGTGGCCAGCGCCGTGGCTGGCTGTACGGAGTACAAAGTGCAGGCTGGCGGGGATGCCGTAGGGGGCTCCTTGGTCGAGTCTAGAGCGGGGTGCCGCAGGCTGGAATGGTACTCGGCCTGGCTCTCGCTAAACCCCGCTCCCACGACATGGACTGTGGACACAAGTACATATGTATCTGCTGGGTACCTGCTTGCCTGCCCACCTGCATTATTAGCTTACAGAGACAGGCAGGTACAGACAGGTACGATTATCAATGTAACAAGAGGCAGTTTCCAGTTTCCGTAAGAAGCAGTAGTACCTAAGGGTGGACCTTCCCTGGCAGTTGCCGTTGTATCGGCTGCCCCCCGGCGCACTGGCCAGCCCAAACGAACCCAAACGGGCGGCCTTGTTCTCCGGATCAGTACCAGGTACGTACTAAGATACATCCCATAGTTACCACTGAAGCACCTAGACTTGGGTACGAATGTATTCTCAACTGCTTTCCAAACTCCCAGCACCAAGCCCTCACCACCCCCTCCTGCTCCGTCGAGTTGATTGCTGCAGACCCATTGCCGCCGTCAGGTAGGCACCATACGTCGTATATTATATCCGAATCGTCAGGTAACACAAGCAAACCTGCCAAGTATGCAGTTCATCACGTCAGTGCTTCCCTACTCCATTTCCCTGTTTGGGAAACTCCGTCTGTTCTCTCTTCTAATTTGACTAATTTGTACAGCCTTCACCTAGGTACGATACCAGGGGTTGCTTTCTTCACCACGACCAACTCGCCCCAGTTCCCGTCGCTGGCAACGCACGACTCAAGTCCTGTAGCCACTTTCCTCCAGCTGCATGAAAAACTCGCTGTGGCGGATATCTACCAGTTAGGTACCTAGGTAGGTATGTATATTAGTACATGGCTGCTACTCCAGCCGACAGCCGAGCCATCGCCCTTTCTTTTTCCGGCGCCTTTTCTTTTTCGCACTCCACTGCAGGAGATGGACTCTCAACGGCTGGACGCCGCCTTTCCACCTCGTCTCACCAATAACTTGTCCTTGCGGTTCTGCGGTTCCTTGTCGGCCGCCAAAACGTCGCTGTTGTTGCATCCATCTCTGCCCTCAGCCGTCACACTATACTTGAAATATTATACGGTAACACTGGCTTCTTGCAGAGTCGCTGCGCAGGTTCCCACCTATATCTACCATTATGCCGACTTCAAAACTTGGCTGCGTCTTTGTCAATGTCGTGTCCACCTCTCCCAGGCACTGCATCTTGGGAGAGAAAACGAATACGGTGGGGATAATCAAGTAAGACATTCGCTGTACCAAAACATCCCGCTTGCCACACCATCGCGATCGCCTAATCTTACAGCGCCAGCAGTGACAACTCCTGAAAATTGTGACCTCCATTTGCTAGTTACGAACAATTCCACCACAAGACCAGCAGCAGCTCACTTTAATCAATGCGACCTCGAAGCGGAGCCATCACTTTGAGCCACATGTCATGATGCAGGACCTTTTGCTCTGTACCTGCTGGCAGTATGAGAGTCCCGATAAGAAAGCACGGACTGGGCCGCCCTGGGCCGCCATCTCCAACTATTGCTTATTACATCTTCGATACATAATTCGGCATAATAACAGCTCAGCCACATCGATGTTCCGCCCGGCCCGAGCGTTTGCCATCTGTCTTGTTAACTACAGGGTTCTTTGTGCCGCTTTCACCACCGCCTGTTCGCTCGTCATCCTGCTTGTACTCCACAGCACCAATTGGCGGCTGGGAAAGTCGAAATTATAATTTGTACAGAGTACGGAGTACACTGAAAAAAGTGAGTACTAGCTGCCCACTCTGACTGCTCAGTTCCGCCCAGAAGCCGAAGAGCAACCTGTCGATCAAGTTTGCCAAGCAGCGGCAATGCTGCTGCGGCTAGCTCCGTCCTCAGGTATCAGATGCCGATATCTCTCACGCCAATGACTGCACCTTGTCCCGACGTACTGCCTTGGCAAAAATATTGGATGGCTTGCGCTTTCCGCCAAAGGCATTTCCCGATGCTGGCTGCGATTTTCCTGCCCACATTTCTCATGTACTGCAAATGAAGGTTGTAACTACATTGGCTGATTCCCTCGACGGCGTGGGCCACCCATGTGCCAATATCTATTGGCATCCAAATGCTACCACCAAGCTACCTGACAAACCTTCAAGGCCAGGTTTTAGATTGACCTAGCGCGGCGCATCTGTGGCCATGACGGAGAGCGCCGATGCTATTGGCGGCCCATTCATAGCTTGATATCTGAATATATCCTCATAGTGAGAGATCACGGCAAGTCCAAAGTGCTCGAGTTAGAACCGTTCAGCGCTTGGCCATTCTGCATTGTACGATAACAAAAAACACCCGACGGATCGCTAGCGCTTGGCCACGAAGAGAAGCCCGGTGTTACCTCGTTCCTCACTTGCCAAGGGCGGCACCGTTGCCAGTCAGTAAAGTCCCACCCCCCAAGCAAGACACTGACGGACTGGTAGCTTGCCCTTTTGTCGCGCTTTCCTTTCTTTTCTTCATCCTCCTGTGTCATGACAGGGTCTTGCCCGTTGGGGCAAACAACGCGCAAACAACGCGCAGAGTCCTACTGGGACATGGCAAGGCCCTCTATTGGACCCCGACAGCCGAGCAAATGGAGAAGAATAAGCTCGTATGACGACCCTGGTGGGTAGCGATTGGGTCGGCTGAGATGTCGGTGTGTGTTGCGCCTGCAGCAGCGCGAGTGAACTAAAGGGGGGGGGGCAAGAACGAAAAGTTTATTGGACAAGATACCTATACGGATGTATACCGGCCGGCGGCGGGGAGCTCGGGGAGACGACGGGAACGACGCTGGAGGGGCTCGTCGTTTACTCTCACCCCGCATGACCGACAAGTAGTGTTCGATTTCGCAAAAGACCTGCGCAAAGACATTCGGCTACGTAATAGTGTACGAACGAGTTTTTTTTTTGGCTCAGGCAAGTCACCAACTCTGTTCTGTCGAGCGCTGCGGAGGAAGCCGTACACGCAGCTGTCACGTCCTTCTTTCTTTTACCTTCGCCGCGGGGCTAGCCCTACGCTCATTCTAAAGCATGACTGCCGCAAGACTTGTCTCATGCCCCCCTCCGTTGTTTTTCTAAAACAAAACATAAGTAGTTAAAAAGAAGGGGAAAAAAAGTCACCTGCCTGGTTCTCTGGACCCCGCGCGATTGGGGTGCGAGCCAGGCCGCCGGGCCGGATGAGTGGCTGTGCACTACTGAGATGAGTGCGTAGGTAGCTAATCAGCTCCCGCGGCAAGCCAAGGGATTCGAAATAGGGATTCGGCAACTACGAAAGGCATATTGCTAGGTAGTGCCCAGGCAAGGCAGATTGGGCTTACGTGTCACTAGTAGGCGAGTAGTCGAGTAGTCAAGATTATGTAGACTCAAAGTAGTTCGATAAAAGGTACTGAGAAGAGACATCGCAAAAAGCAGATAGCATCAATATACATCGTGGCAGCGCATCATTTGGCGTACTATACTATACTGTCCCAACGTTTGCTTCGCAAATAAATCCAACAAAGAAAGAAAAAAGGGCATCCTGATCCGTGAAAACTCCAGGTCCCCTTGCCACATGCAAAAAAACAACAAAGAGAAACCAAACCACCCAAAGTAGACGCCAAGAATGTTTTGAACAAAAAAAGGTCATGCAGCGCACCGAGCTCAAGAGCCGGGAACGGGAAGGATGGGGTACAGCGAGTTACCCTCCTTGCCGTTGCCGAGGGTGCGGGGAGGCATCTGGGGGCTCTTGACGTCAATGTCCATGGAGTCGGCGGTGTGCTCCGACCCGTCCACGTACTCTCTGCGCTCGAGGCGGCCGCGGATATAGTCGCGCAGGCCCTCGATGACGCGCATGTTTTCGAGCCAGCGGTCGTACTGCTCCTCCCGCTCGCGCGTGGTCTCACTGACGTCGGACGACTCCGACCCGGGCGAGGCGGGGCTGCTGTTGCTCTCGGCGGCGGCGGCCTTGGGCGTGGAGGAGGGGCTGGGCGCCTCAACAGGCCGCGCGGACAGGGGGCCACGGGCGCGTTGGAGCAGGCCACCCGAGTAGCGGCGGCGCTCCGTCATGTCGAAGCTGGGACCGAGTGTGGCCGTGGCCGACTGGCCGAAGCCGTGGCTGGCGCCGGGCAGGCTGGTAGGGAGGCTCGGGTACATGACGGCCGCGGGGCTGTGGCGGGACTGGGGGGACAGGCCGGCGGCGGACATGCCCGAGGCAGACGGGCTGGGCGAGTGGCCCGAGGTGTAGGACATGGAGCTGGAGGGCGGAGTGAGGGCAGGCGTGCCGGCGGAGGAAATGGCAGTGAGGGGAGAGGCCATGTTGGCGGCCGAAACGGCGTAGCCGTCGCCCATGTGGGTGGGGGATCCGCGGTGTATGGTGTTGGGCGAGGGAGTGTTCCGGAAGCCGCCGCCGTAGCCGTGATGATGGTCGCCGCCGCCGTGGATGTGCACACCAGCGGTGGCGTGGCTGGCGTTGTCGTAGATGGTGTCCTGCATCTGGCCGAGGAGATGGTCGATCTGGACGAGATCCTTTTGTGTTCGGGCGCTGGGCATGGGCAGGTAGTACTGTTGCGCCAGAGGGTTGTGGGAAATGGGAGGCCCGGCGGCGCTCATGCCGCCGGAGACATGCACAGGCTGGGGCATATACTGCTCCGCGGCGGCCATGGGTCCGCTGACGGAGACGGCACCGTGGAGGGGCAGAAGCGAGCGGCCAATGTCGGCGTAAGACGAGGGGTCGATGTTGCGGCGCTTGGCGTGGCCAAAGAAGTCGTCCACCATGTCGTAGGTCCGCTTACGGTCATATCCGCCGGCGCCGGCGGTGTTGTAGCCAATATGCTCCGCGCGGGGAGTGTTCAGAGGCGGTTGGTTAAAGTACATGCCGTAGCTGGCTGGTTGCTGGGGCGCGTAGTAGCCGCCCGGATGGCTGGGCTGGGGGAAGCCGGCATGGCCGGAACGCATCTGGCCATTGTGATCATAGTAGCTAGGAGCTGCTGAGCACGTTAGTATGCTGCGTGTGGAAAGAGCGTCGTGTCGTGGAGAAGACGTACCCTTGGACTGTGTCCGGTAGTTGAAGCCGTTATCCTGGCGAGAGAGGATGGAGTCGTCGGCATGGGTCTTGACGTGCTTCTTCAAGTCCTGAGGGCGCTTGAAGGACTTGCCACAGAACTCGCACTTGTGCGGCTTGAGAGGAACATGCACTCGGATGTGCGAGGTGATGTGATCACGCTTGACGGTGGTTGTGCGGCAAGAGTTCCATTGGCACGTTAGGCTCAGGTTGTTGGTGCTCTTGCGGCCAACATGGCGATCGCAAATGTGTTCCTACAGGGAAAACGGTTAGATACGGTAGAAGGGGTCAAGGTTGGGGCGCTCCATACATAGAGAATCTCGGGGCTGGCAAATTTTTGGTTGCACTGATTCCAGCGGCATGTGAGGTTGTCTTCGGCGAGCATGGCCAGGGAAGCGGCGCTGGAGCCGGCGCTGGACGGCGCGGGGGTGACAGACTTGGAGTCGCTGCTGCTGCTGCTCACCCCAGAGGTCACCTGCGAGATGTCGGGGAGTTGCGACATGGCAAAAAGTGGTCGAAAAGACGAGGCGAGAGACGAGATTTCGAATATGTTAGAGTCAGGGTGGTTGTTCGGGATGGATCGATTCGTGTTAGCGCCTCCGGGGAATGTAAATATACGTTGTTTGTGGCGTTGGTGCAGCGAAAGGGTCCTTGGCTAATCAGGGTCTTGTAAACGAGACCAAGAGAATATAGGAAATGTTGTAGATTCAATGTCGCTGGTGAGATTCCGCGAGACAAGGTCGATTATAAGTTCTAGAAAAGAAAACGGGCAAATGTTGCGGGGAGTGCGGTTGGCTTTAGATGCGCTGATACCAGAAAAAAGCCAAGTTGCCAGGCCTTGGCGCGACGACTGAAGGGGCGAGCGGAAAGTCTTGGCGGTCTTGGCATGCCAAGACCAGGTATCTCTTGGCAAGAGTACCTGGTATCAGCGGTAGCCTGTGTAGCAAAACAAGTAGCGCGGCACACGACGACATGGAACATGCGGCGGAGCAGAGTTTGCCAAGCCCGCCAAGAGCTTGGCGGTCTTGGCGGGCGACCCATCGGCAGTGTTCGATTGGCCGCTGCACCGGCTGCGGGGCGCCGGGCTCAGCACTCGCCTTGTACCCTGACAGCCGACAGGGCACTGCGCGCGCGGTCCAGGCTTTTGTTGTCTCTCTAACGAGCCCTCCAGCCCAACCTTGGGCAGCACCAGCTGCACAAGCAAGCAAATCAAGCAAGTCCCCTGCGTCGTTTGCCAACGATATGGGCTCATTTCGGGCGTGTGATGTGACGACGGCATCATGCTGCTTTCGATGGCCGTCTTTTTGGCCGTGGTGCTACCGAGCTGCTCGCTGCTCTCTGAAAGAAACGGCTTCCGGCCTCTGTTTGTCCTGCAGCTGCAGCTTGCCACCAGACCGGTCGCTTCGTTGCCAAAAGACCAATAACTAACTACTGGTAGTCTCACCAGAAGGACCAGAAAAGGAAGCCCACGCCTATTCCTGATACCTGAGCAAATTAGATGCTTCGCTTGTCAGTACTTGTTCGCTCGTTGTTTATTTATGGCTGACTAGGACCTGGCCAGCCGCCAGCCAGTCACCGAGTCAGAATCCCATGTCGCACAACTGCCTCATATTGGCATGATCGACAGTCCGTGGTTGTTTCGCTGCGGCGCAAGACGAGCATGCACAAAACCGGCCACCGCTGCATTTCATTCTTCAAGGGTTCCATGGGCTATCCCCCTCGTGGCCATGGCTTGGTCATGGCTTCCGCCACAGCTGCAACGCGACGTATTGGTAATATCATGAGTTGCTCGGTGCCATGACGACTCGACCCGGAGATGTCGGCTAAATGACGATATCGAATTTTGCCCCCGACCCGACACTGCCGCACGACCCATTCCCCCATCTCCTTCACCTCACGTGCAGTCGCCGCCGGGCCCGAACTTGCCGGTCTACGACGGCGCGCGCGAGGCTATCTCGTCCAGGGCGAGCAGCCCCGATGGATCGCCTAGACTGAACAAGAAATGAATCAAGCTTTCCGCTGGGCGCCCAGGCTTTGTGCCCCTCCGCCTCCGCCGCAGGCTAATAAAGCATGCCGACCAAATCGCTACTGCGTGGGGCTTGGCCGGGGTATGCAAGACAAATTGACTGGTACAAGACATGCCGCAAGACTGCTAACTACATACTGGTAACTAGTTTGCCGACACCTGCTCTCACCTGTCCAGATAAGGAGTAGTTATGTAGCAGCTTTCCCAACTAGCCAGCATCGTTATCTCCCGTTTTCTCTTGTTTCTTCCTCTTTTGCCATGGCGCGGATGCCAGCTGGTGTCGTGGCTGTTTTCTGCATGTGCTATTTGCTGCTAGCTGATCCCGAAATCGAGCCAGTTGCACAAAGCAAACTCTCGACCCAAGTTGGACAATGGCAACGAGACCTTTACCAAGTAGGCAGTATTGGACGAACTACCTAGGCTAGGGTCGCTTCATGCGTGGCACATGAGCTGATCCCTTCCCTTCCCACGGCCACACTGCAGGTCAACATCGCCTTCAGGGTTACAAGGTGACAATGATTGGGGCTCGCGACCGTTTTATTACGAGTAAGTTTTCAATAACTAGCTCAGCCACGCCGCTGTGCGCCATTTGCCTCCACGTGTTGCTCAACTCAACTCGCTGTGGCTCCCAATCGCCGACCCTGAAAAAGACGCTTGGCTTGGCACAGCTAACCTATCAATTTGCCAAGAGACGCTGCCAAGCTCCCAGCGAGGCGCAATGCCGGCGGCCAATGTTGATCAGAGGGCGGCCAGGTTTGTTGCTTTGCACAGGCGAAACTAGACCATTCCAATGGCGCCATTGGCGACCAAACAGTTCCCAAGAGATGCAACAGCCAAGATATCTGCCCGTCGCTTGGTATTACGCTCCCCGCACTTCAATGATGGAGCAGTGAGACGTCCAGCTGAGGCTGCCAGGCGGTATCCCGAGGCTGGTGCGTTCACTGCAGACGTGCCCGATTTTAACCTTCGCCGTGAGCTTTCCAACTTGCCGCGACCTGAATCATCGCCCAAAATCAGCCAATCGTTGTCAGAGCAGAGGGGACCAAATCGCTAAGACTATCGATACTTGACACATGACAATGCCGTCCCGCCGCCCCCTAGGCGTTTACAAAACGGCAGGGGCCAGTGGCAGCAACAGCTTATTTTAAGCTTGTTTATGGTGGACTCCTGTGGCTGATAAACTCTTGCTGCACTTGGTGGACTCAAGTTTGACGTGAATTCCGTACCGAGTACACGTACGCATCTTCTGACACTAGGTATTAGTCAACAACTCGCTTCCAGGAATGACAGTCCTGGTAGACATGCCAAGCCAGTAGAGTCTGAAGATGCTTCATATCCGAGTATACCAAACACGACATGGCCTATTAAAAGAATACTCTTCTCTGCTTGAGAGGCTAGCGCGCAACGCTTTTGCGCCCTTGAAATTGCTTGGCAGGAATGACATGGGATTGACTGCCCCAGGCCAAGACGGCACTCCAGGTGGCATAAGGTGGCATCCAAGACCAAGGACTTGGCACCCCTAGATGCGGTGGGCTTGGAGGCTCACCCGGTAGATGGCCGAGAATATCCGGAGACAAATCTGGTTACGCGGCTCTGACGATGGTGCAAGACTACAGAAGAGCTCGTCGGACGCTTTAAGACATACTCGAGGACGTACAGAGACCAGTTGCACCAAAGCGTTGGCTCGCTCCTCGCATAGGCCCTGTTCAGAGGCTGCGGTAAGCTGTCGCGATGACTGGCACGAGCTCCTTTCCTTTTAACGAAGGCGGACGCGAGCACGTATCCCAATATACTTGGGTTGTGTAATTCTTGTTCCAAATCCCTCAGCTGAAAGAGAGTCCTCTCAAGGCCCTCTGGCCTGCGCCCGGAAAAGTCACTCACTCAGTATCCGTATCACGGTATGACCTGGTGTCTCGACTCTCGACACTTGAACTGTTCACATGCCAACAACAACGAAGTGAAGAGGCTTAGTTCATGGTAGAGTAGAACGCTCCGTTGAACTCTCCATCTTCCATAGAAGCAACGTTAGTGAGCGCCTGACCTTGACGAGACGACGTATCGCAACTACGGTGCTTCTGTGGTACCTCCAACTGACCGCCCTCATGACCGACTCCTGTGCCGATGGACATAGCGAGTAGCAGTCCGTCTTGCTTGGCCAGAGCTAATAATCCGGTGATGTGTCTCTTCCTCAAGGCAAGCTACGAAACTAATGGTTCAAAGCAAATCAGCTCCAATGAAGGGGACAGAAATGACTCTTCTCTTGACGAAAGCCATGTTGGAGATGCTTTCGAGGATGTATTCAGGCACTTCAGTTCGATGATTTCGCAATTCAGAGACCAGGCATTTCTACATAGCAGCTCAAATAGCCGAGCGAAGAGGTAGGCCTCCTGACATTATTCGGTTCCTCGCGGACTCTCCGTGTACATTGTCATGACGAAGGGGAGTCGCATCGTCGGCACGCTGGTGACAATCACATCATTGAACTGATGGCAATTGGCGTTGCCTGCTGCCTGCTGGTTCCTCGCCGTCGCCTTGACGGCGTTTGCTGCACAGTAAAAGGACTGGCGGCGGTGACTTATTAAGTGCCGACTTGAGTGAGGCAGCAGAGATACGTCGCACTGGGCTGCAGGTCATGGGCAGCTTCACCACGCCCGTTTTACTATAAACGGTCTCTGTCTCCGGAGACGGTCAAAGCCGAGGGAGTGAGTAGGGGGATTTGACATGGAGCGTGCCTAGTATGACGGCTTTTGGTTGTTGGTGAGCGACGCCGTACCATCAGCATATATTGCCGCTCTGCGTTTATTGGCGTCAGTCAGTTTTTGACCTATCGCGCTTGACTCAACGCACAATTAAGCAGAGTAAGAGTATCATGTGGTCAGTGTTCCCTTTTATGCACGATGCTAAGAACATCAGTTTGTTTTGTAGGCTGTGAAAGAAGTTTACAGGATGGGAAGAATTGCTTCCAAGATAACGAGTTGACTGGTCAAGCAGCTACTCTCCACGCGAACAACTCCTTGCAGGCTCTGTGGCCGGTATCCCACCAAAGAGAATAATCCTTTTTTGAACTTTGTTTTGCGGGGTATTTGTCACCCCCCAAACGACTCATACTTCCCCTGCGTCATGCACACCTCGACGGAAATCATCCCTGACCCTCGTCGCGTACCGGCGCGGCGGCCCGAATCTGCGCATCGATCGCAAGTCGTGGGGGTGCCAAGAGGAGGCGTGACTTAAAGGCCAACGATCCTTAGGGGGGAACATGATGCAGGTCTCGAGCCGATGAAGAGGTGAGAGAATCTTGGGTTCCGCAGGCTCTACGTGTGAAGCCGCAAGGCATGCTTGGGGAGAAGAATTTAATGGGCATGGTTATCAGCGCACGGTAACTTAACTTGCAGCCATTTTTGGTATGCAGCGATACTCGGCACTTGTTATGTATCATGCGCGTGGTAGTGATAACACGGACGCAAGCTTGCCTCGGTCACAACTATCAAAAGCTGACTTTTTATTAGACGACCAAGCAACAGAGCCAACCGTTGACTCGGCACTACAACAATACCATATCAGAGCCCGACAAAAAACTCAACAACATCTCGCCTCGTTATATCAGTTGCCGTCAACGTTGACAAGATGCTCAGCTATGCCTGAGCGTCCCCCCCTTCTTGATTGATGACAGGGATGTGATGGACTTCTCTTGCTTCAGCTGCCCCCTAGTCTCGGATCAGGCTAGTAAGGAAGAGGCCTCTCTCTGTTGCTGCCCCTCATTTGAAATCAGGCTGTGAGCCAGCCTGGAAAAGAAAGGAACAATCCGACAAGGGGTCCTTCCGAAGAAAGAAGAAAGGGGAATCCGGGTGTGGGCGGTGTAGGGCTGTGTAAACTGCCAAACGCCAGGTCCAAGTCCTCGTGGCGACTTATTACTTGTTGGTGCTGAGAATCCCTCGACTTTACCCCCTTGCCTCTCACCAAGTCTTTTCCTGGCAGTACACTACCATGCCATTCATTTTCTGAAGAGTATTCTTTATTTTTTTTTCTCTTTTTTTTTTCACGGTCGATAGTAACCCCCGCTATTAGCCGTTGAGCGACCGCAACGTCGTGTTCTATTCATCAACGCCGGGAATAAGGGCACCTAATACCTGTCTCTACTCTCCTGAGCTAGCCATCTAGGCTGTCATGGAAAAAACGAGCCACTGGCTCGACGTCCCCTCGTCGCTGCTCGGCGGCGGGCGGGCGCGGCTGCTGCGCGTCGCGGGCCTACTCTGCATCTGCCTGGTGCTGACGCTCCTCTACAGCACCAGCGGCGGCGGCGGCGGCGGACGACACATGCTGTACAACACGAGGCCAGCAGGGTCCAAGACGACCGTGGCGCTCGCGCGACCGTCGCGCGCGGAGCAGCGGCTCATGGACGCGGCCGGCAACGCGACGCTCGGGTTCGCTTCGGTCCAGTTCATCAACCTGCCGCTGCGGTTCGACCGCCTCGACGCGGCGACGCTACAAGCGTGGCTGTCGGGCGTCGATATTACCGAGGTGAAAGGCGTCGGGGCAGCTGAGATTATTGATGTCGGCATGCCCCCGGAACACCTGACGCGCGTGAAAAAGACGGAAAAGGGCTGCTGGCGAGCCCATGCCAATGTACGTTTCTAAAAAAAAACAAGAAAAAACCAGGATTGGGGGATATGAGGCTCGACAGAACCACCGATTTCTTTTAAGTGGCGCTACTAACATATGTTGGAACCGGGTGCAGATCTGGAGCCAGATGCTCCGCGACAAGACCCCTGCGGTCCTCGTCCTCGAGTCCGACGCCGCATGGGACGTTGAAGTGCGCGCCATCATGCGCACCCTCAACCAGCACTTTACCTACCTCCTCGACGCGCTGCACTCGCGATCCCTTCCCAACCCGAGCTTCCGCGCGCGCGACGGCAGCGCCGGCGGCGGCGGCGCGCGCGTCACCCTGGACCC